TTCGTGATTTTCTTCATTTTTTTTTTTTAAATAAAATTATTTAAATTTTTGATGTGACGTGTATCTTTAACGTATCTGTCATTGTCAGTCACATTTAGCAATACTTTGGGCGCTACTGACAAAAGAACAGCTTTTACCAGTCTTCTTGGAAATCAAATAAGGAGTCCTAAGGCTGTTTTTTTTTTTACTCGAATATCCAGAATATATTTGGATTCCTGGCAGTAGTCACCATCAAGATAAAGGATCACAGTTGAAAAGAGAAAGAGAGAGAAATAGGGTATAACGGCCACTCGACAAAAACTAGGCCATTTCAGGACTAATGCTGTTCAATTTTCTTTCAATAATTCACATGCGCATTGGGATCTTTAGCAGTCGGAGGAAACAGGAGTACTCGGAGAAAACCCACGAGCTTGGACAGGTGACCCTACTCCTTGTCACGTACAAGCGGAGAATCGAAACAGACAGACCTTATGCACGTGTTAAACCATTCAGCCATCCAACTCCGAAATGAAATGAAATGGAGTTTAACGTCTTACTGTTCTGCTCCGACTGGGCTAATGAAGACGGGCATACTGTACTATGAGGGAAATTTGGGCCGGGCAGCGGCACTATGGCCTACTCTTATATCGAATTCCAACTGCCAAAGGCTCTTTGCTTGCACGCCAATGTATACACGGGACCTCGGGTTTTCGTCCCATCCGAATGGCTAGACAGCTGTCCTTGTCAGGCCCTCCTTCTAGCACCACTGACAAGGGGAAACCACGTCTTAAAATTCCGATGAACTTCCTAGGTCAATGCAGGGATCGAACACGCGACCACCAGGCTAGCGAGTCAGTGTCTTACCCACTTAACCACCGTGGCTCCCCATCCCACTCCCACCACAGTTGAAAATAAATACAGTATGTATAAAGTAGCCCTGTTTACGTGAGAGACTGGACGTTCTTGTCCTTGTTGTTCCCATCCAGCCATGCTTTGGTAGTTGAAAAGAAATCTGTACAATAACTTGACGGCCTAGACTGGACGTTCTTGCTCTTAACTATTGTCCCCCATATCAAGACATATCTCGGTACCAAAAACCAATCTGTACAGCAATATGACGGTCTGAAGAGTAAATAAATACGGGATCGTCTAATATTGGGCTAGCACAGAGCACTAGAAATGCTTCCACTAGGCCTACTGCAGCTGTCTTCCGTCTTGCTACAGCCACAGTAGTGGGTCGTTCTAAGGACTTCTTTTCGGCAAGTTTTTTTAGTCATTTGACTACAAAAAAGTTACTGGTCTTAACTCCTTTTTTTTCCAATTAAACTGACTCCAAACTGTACTGCACATAGCTTAACATATAATAAACCAATTCCCATTCATTTGATCAAACTACGGGGTTAATACCCCATTCCTCACGTCCACCTTGGATCCCCCGCAGCCCAGATACCTGAACCCAGATGCGTGTTGGGCGGTATGGGTTGCCTATAATATACCGTGCCCTCATAAATGCAAAACCAAAACAAACCTGAAATCCGATGAGATTTCCTGCCAGGATATGTGGGTGTGTGGGTGGCTATGTGCCCTGATTTTTGAAAAAGTGCCTTGTTTTTGAAAAACTGCCCTCATTTCCGAAAAACTGCCCTAATTTCTTAAAAAGTGTCCTAGAATTTCAAAAGAGTTATCTCAAATACTTTTGGAAATATCCGCGTAAATGTCATCACATTGCCATTGCCCTAATGAAAACAATGTGCCCTTTCTTCCTGCTGCCTCCTCTTGTTCCAAACAGATACTGGGATACGAAAAACCAACCAATTACGTACATGCACCATCAATCAATCCTCCATGCTTGTTGGCCTTCAGTTCAGCCCCACAACCGGGGAATCAAAACCACGCCAGTTGACTCAATGACAGACCTTACGATGCAGCGCACACGTGCTAACCAATCGGCCATCCACCCCCCCCCCCCCACACACACACACACACACCCACACACACACACCCCGAGAAATTCGAATTCAGCCTTCATTATGGTGGATTGGTGATATATTTAAACGGTTTTTAAAATCAGATAAAAAATTGCGACCTCTAGAGAATCCACAAGGTAAAGAACACGATTTTTCGTACAATCAGGGTCCATACTCCAGGAAGTTACGATCCGATATCCGCAAATATCGAAAGGAAGCAAGATCTTGGGGTTATAAACATTCATTTCAAGTTTCATTAAAATCGGATAAAAATGTGACCTCTAGAGTGTCCATAAGCTAAAAACGTGATTTTTCGTACAATCAGGGGCCATAATGAAGTTAAGGTCCAATACATATCAATGTCGGAAGGTATCGAGATCATTGGTAGATAGAGCTATATTTCAAGTTCCGTCAAAATCTGATAGGGGCGACGGCATAATACGATCAAAGGGATCGTTTTTAGCTGTTAGCATACCCCGGGTCAATATGCTAACTGTTACTACGAACCCTGTGGACATATTCGGTCACCAGTAACTTCCTTGGCTAGCCTAAAGTTCTTGCGGTTGTATCCTTTTACTCTTTAAGTGCTACCCCTCACTCATTAGCGGACAGAATCTACTGAAACTTGGCGAGCATCCATTGCAAGGAATACCAATCTATTTTGATGCTTGTTTTTCTTTACTCGTAGTGTGACACTATGCAGGCTACGCTTGCAGGATTCCTTCATCTTTCTTAGACTTGACTCACGATTCCTGCTACCAGTTATTTCTGGAAGAGGGTTACTGTTGTGTCACGGTTAGTTAAAAATGATATCCTATTACGTTAACGATCAGACATCAGGTCAGAGGTCTCCGCACCATTCGTACAGTACAAATTAGCCCATTTGGGTTGAGGTAATGCAGCGCTTGCCCAAATATGGCCAAGGATCCGCCCTGATAGTTGACACCCCTCACCTTTTCATATAAATTAGACTAGCGCGTTTTCCCGGGAGACGGTTGGGCGAAATAGCCAGGGTACACATCATAGGTTTTAATCGTGGTTAACGTTTAAATACCTAAAGAACAATAGCCGTGTCGATATTGTAGAATATATTATTTTATCACCCAATAATACATTCTACAGTAGATATCTCTTGTGTGATATATTTCATAATCTACTGCGATATCTCCTTAGGAGATATCGCTTTACATGAATTTGATTGGTCTTGGTCAGGGTGAAAAGGAACTACTTTTTTATTTTCAAAGAACAATTCATTTCTTATTTAAAGTAACTTTTTTTTTATTAAAAATGAACTATTGTTATTCAATTGACCTTGATGGAAACACTGGGTCAATATAAAGGACTTTGCAATGGTTGAATTGCTGTCAAAATATGATGTATTACTACGCCATAATGTTCAGTAAAAGTTAAATCTACGGCAAAGAATTATATTTATCTATTTGTGCATGTAAGAAGGGATTGGATGTTAAATAAAATCTCCTACTCGTCTAATTTGATATCAAAAAATATCAACACTCGTTGATAAAGTAAAAAAAAAAACTCGGCAGAGCCTCGTTTTTTGTTACTTTATCAACTTGTGTTGATATTTTTTGATATCAAAAAGATTGGTAGGAGATTCTCTATGTAACCTATAAAGATATCTCCAGAGAACCGAAAAGAGTTTGAAGTCTTATTTATCACAGCGTCAAGTCCTACTTAGACACACGACAGTGTGACACAGAAGATTTGGCCGTCCAGACACAGGGTACGTGTCCCCAGAGTGTCACAGTAGGTCGTGATCAGAATTCCTCAACCAAGTGTCAATGTACGATATGGTATAATCATGGCTCGGATATACGTCAAATCAATTCTAGTATGTACCCCTGGACCACGTTTCTCGAAATCTTAACTAAAGATAAAATCCAGATTTAGTAGATACTTCAATTTTGATTGGTTAAGCACTAAAATCAATCTAATATTATCCAATCAAATTACTAAAATTTGGATTTTATCTTAGTTAAAATTTCGTGAAACAACCCCCAGAACCAGAAATTTCCTGCCCGTAAAGTGCTCTAAAGTTGGATCTGCCTACCCCCCTTTCTTCGGAGGCCCCATTATGCCTCTGCCTGAACCTGTACACACCCCAGCTGTCTGGAAAAACAGTTACAAAATACGATTTTGTATTTGGGCATTTTACCAACAGGATACACGTGATCCAACGAATCATTATTTTATTTTAGCCTTTCATTCACAGATTCATTAAAAATTCATTATGAAAGAGCTAAATCTGCCTATTGCAGGTCTTTCTTTAGGCCATAAATGTTACCTATATTATTAAACATGCATTATGCAAGAGCTAAATCTGATTATTGCAAGTCTTAATTTAGGCTTCAGATGTTATAGAAATTATAAATTAGATCTTTATTTAAACAACAAGGCCCAAATCAGCTCTGTAGACCCACGGATGGCTCGGCTACAGCTCGGATTTAAATAGGATTTCACTAATTGATTAAATCAAATAAGGGGTAACCTGATGAAAATACGTCAGTTAGATCGAGGCTAAATGATAGAGTGTACTTAGCGAGGCCGCTGTAAAGCGTTTCCGTATGCCATTGAAAACTTTACTTGATAATCGAGATATGTAGGTGGAGTTAACGCCTGTCAATCAAACGATCGGCGAAGTTGAAGACACATTTCGCTACCATTTCTAGGCAAATGTTACAACGATGATAACTATGTTCAGGATAAAGTAATTTGACTGAATTTTTCAATATATTCTTCTTTCATCATCTACTTTTGAACTGTTATAGCAAGAATGGCCAACTCTCTATAAAAATCTCCCAAAATGTATCTTTAATTAGAAAATTAATTAACTGATCCAGCCATAATCAACCCTCAATGCCATCGTTAGCCTGCGATATTTAGTGGATTTGAATACATTTTGTGATGGATGATTTAACCCAAAAATGGATTATCGAGAATTGGTTTATTATGCACCAAAATTAGTAATGACGTTCAAGGCTAGCATAAAATTGAATCACTAATATCTCGGTTCAGGGTAATAAACAAAACAAATTTCAGTTCTCTTTAACTGTTTAATGAAAGTTGAACACTGGTCCCCTTTAACAACACTTAAGCTTTAACATATGATTAAAGAGACATTTTGCCAAATCTAAAAAATAAATTTCCATTCAAAATGGATCAGCTGTAACAATTCTTATAACATTTCGACCAAAATACTTCTATGGTAATATCTAAAATATAACAACATTTTCATTCAGATAAATCAAAATAAATATTGGAGTTAACATTCCCAAATCAATATTTCTGTTGGAAACAGGTCTCGAGTTCACAAAAGCATTCTCAGACTTAAGTTGAGAATTTACTCAAAATTCTTCGCCATACGTTAACTAAAACATAGCCGTTTATAATTTTGTTGTTGTTTTAATGTATCAAATATATCAATAAGAAACTATGTGCAAAGTTTTGTGCTTCTGGATCAATGATATATCCCATAAACAGTGATTTAAAGTTGAGTAAATTCTCAATCTGATTATAATACAGATCTATATTTCGTTTCGTTTTTTTTATACTTTCGATGGCCTACAGCAATCTGTTTTACAGACCTAATGCGACATCCGTCTTTTATCTCTGTCCAAGATGACTGACCTTTAAAAGGTCAGACCGCTATAGTTCTAAGGGTGACGTTACATCACAATGTTTACCAACAAAGCAAGATGGCGTCGATAACGCCAAAAAAAAGATTACTTCTGTGGCTTGTTTTTGTTGTTTTAAAACAAACACGAGCAGGTCAATCAGATTAGACGGTAAAAAATGTACTTCTGAAAGAATTCAGAGTAAACAAACAGAAAAAAAACGTCAAATTGATGGTCACACGTGCGTTGTTTACATCGTACGTAGTAATATGAACTGGTACGGGCAGAATTATATCGTTTTACCCATTTTACGCCTCCGCGTACTATTTTCTGTACCTATTACGCTAAATATGAAATATTTTTTATCAAGATATACTTCAAACACCTTTCTTATTTTTCTAATACTAAAAAAAAAATGTTTCAGAATTTAATTTGTCGAAAGAAAAAAGTTAATATTTTGAAGTCATTAAGTCGCCTCGATGTCATCCTTATCAGTGATTGTTGCGGCCAAGCGAATATTCACTGCGGATCAGTGTGGGCCTACAGTAGTAAAGACAAGTAAAACGATATTTTGAACTATAAAAACGAAACGAAATAGGATCTGTGTTTTAACCAGATTGGTAAATTCTTAACTTACGTCTGAGAATGCTTTGTGAACTCGGGACCTTGTCTCTTGAATGAACAAAACAAAAACAGTTAATGCCTTGACCAGCCATAAATTGGTCTGTAAATTATACTATAGATGAATGATTTCTATTGTCTAACTAAATAACTACTGTTATGCTATTACTAGGATTATAATGAACAGAATAATTACTTCAACATGAATTACGAAAATTACTAATGAAAATGTCCAGCTGAGAGATCCTCATGCCCATCAATCTATAGTTATAACAAACAATTAATTTGTATGTAATGAAATGTATGAATGATTGGTGTCGTGAAATAAGAGACTATTCTCTAATAAAACAGAAATACTCTTAGGCCACAACAATTGATTTTCTGTTCTTTGGGGGGGGGGGGGGTGCATCAGATACGAAGAACAGAAGGAAAATATGTACATGTATGTAATAATCTTACTTTCTTAATGCGATGCAGGGATGCCGGTATAATACCCAAGGGCCTAATTACCAAATCACCAGTCAACTAACCTGCTGCCGTGAAGATCCTCGCCATATACTTAATAATCCTTAATTAAATTAGATTCCCTTTAGGTACATGTAATTAAGGGGTATCCCTGCTTAGTCAGTAATAACTAAGTGTTGTCATATTTTATTATTGCTTGATAATGACTAGAGAAGCTTAGCCGAAACTGCTCAGTAATAAGCAGTAATTGTATTCCATAGAATTATGACCTGTATACTCAGGGGAGATGAATTTATATAAGCTTCGACTTGTTTTCAGATCCCACATTTATATAGTGTAGCCTACTTTTATAATATCTAAATATTTATTGAATAAATAGTGTCAGAAAAGAAACATCACACCTTTTGATTTTCTGTTCTTGGGGGGAAACATCACAGCAATTGTTTTTCAGTTCTTCGGGGAAATACCCGATTTCTTATAATCTTGTAATTTGTATGCTTGATAACAACCAGTGAAATCTTGTTGAAAGGTCGTGTGTTATATAATAATTGTTATCTATAGAACTGGGTTGTGTTATACCTGATTTATTCAGGAAAAAGACAAATTTAAAAACAAAAAAAAATACCTGGTTGTGCTGTTCAGAAATTCCAAATTTTTAAACAAAACATTGTGGACATGATTCAAGAGGCTATATATTTATAAAAACCCTAACAACAGATATTTATTTGTTTTGGTCTAAAGTGTAAAATTATTGAGCACGAAGTTAATAACTGGCACAAAGGTGGTTGACCCGGTGAAGCACGGGTATAGACTATGGCCCGGAAGTAGCGTAACTCAGAAACCGGAAGTGATAGCCTGTCGCCACCAGGCCTATGCTACTCCCTACTCCGAGCTACACCTATACAGTAAATTTAAGTCGAGGGACAGCTCTGGTTTAGCCGCCAACCCTGAACAGATAGACCCTTGATTCTCAACCAGTGTGCCGCGAGATCTTCCTAAGTGTGCCTCGAAATTTTGAACGTAATCCCAATTGAATATTCATATATATTTAGCCAGGTGTGCCGCTATTTTTTCATGCGTTCCAATGTGTGCCGTTGGCAAAAAAAGGTTGAGAACCACTTAGATAGACAAACAAACCAAGTTCACAAATATTAGTCTATATAGATAGATTGTATAAAGGGTTTTTGTTTATGCTAACTGCATGGGTTACAGAACACATTCATCAGTACAACAACAGGATTCAATATTTTACCTTACAAGGTGGTGCACAATAAATCTTATGAATCATGACAAAATAATTCTATGTTTGACATTTTGTTATTTCGTTGTATATGACAATATATAGGATCAGTGATATTATTGTTTTTTACTTTAAGACAATTACATTAAACATAAAATTTACTTACAATACTTTACATTAATATGTTTGACTTATGAACAATAAACTTTAATAAATGAAAATAATTGCTACAAATGAACCAAAGTCATCATTTTATATACATAATGTTTATAAGTTAAAATTGTTAGTAATAAGACAGTAATCATTAAGTAGGTGTTAAAACCATTACTATATTGAATGATATACACAACTATCAGTTGGGTTTGTGTATTTCATAGTGATGGGTATTATAGTCATTAAGTAGGTGTTATTGTCAATAAGATGTTAAAACCCTGACTATTAAGTGATATACACCACTAGTGTAGGTTTGTGTATTTCATAGTGATGGGTATTATAGTCATTAAGTAGGTGTTATTGTCAATAAGATGTTAAAACCCTGACTATTAAGTGATATACACCACTAGTGTAGGTTTGTGTATTTCATAGTGATGGGTATTAGAATTAGACTGTAGTCATTATATAGGTGTATTGTCACTAAGATATTAAGACTAGGAATATTAAATGATATACACAACTAGTGATTAGGTTTGTGTATTTCATAGTGATAGATATTAGTATTAGTCGACTTTACCATTAGTAGTTACATCTTTTACAGCTAATTACATCATCCCTGATAATTAATTACTACTGCATAATTTTTAACCACTTTCTATACTACTAACCATTAGTTTATAATAATAATCACTGGTATGATTTAAAGACAACTGTTTTCATTTCTAAATATCCTAGATTCATAAATCAATGGTTTCAGCTTTACAGTGTCACTGTGGAATCTTTCAGTAAAACTATCCACTTTGTATTAATATGTATCAACAGACGGACATGGCTCGATATCAGCTGAATAATGGTAATTTTAGTGAACAAGCGCCCTATCCACTGAGCCACAGAAGCTCCCTTCTGCCAAAGTAATGAAATGAAATGAGATTTAACGTCCTACTGTTCTGCTCATACTGGGATAATGAAGATAGGCATATGCCATACAGTGTGCTATGAGGGAAATTTTGAACGGCCAGCGGCACTATGGCCTACTTTTATATCGAATTCCAACTGCCAAGGGATCTTTTACATGCATGCCAATGTATACACGGAATCTCTTCTGCCAAAGGATCCTACGGCTAAATAAAAACAGGTCACATGCAGCCCTTTATAACTGATTTAACGATATCTGAACCTGAATATTTTTGTTTATACAGTATGACCTTATAACAAAATAACGAAACAAATGGATGATAAATGGAATAATACATGAATACCAATTTCATAGAGTAACATTGCTTGTGGAAGATAATTTTGTTTTATAAAAACTATCATTTTCACTTATAAAATTCAAATCTATCAAAACTTTCAGTGTCAGGTAAGCTCATAATTAGGAGGGATAATCTAAGCACTAACAAAACAATAATTCTATGTAAGTTTGTAAACAAAACAATAAACCTATGTAAGTTTGTAAACAAAACAATAAACCTAGGTAGCTTTGTAAACAAAACAATAAATCTATTTAGGTTTGTAAAAATTAATGCCACAAAATTATTAGAAGCACAAGGGAAAAATTTCGGATTTAGATGTTTTCTGAATCCTAAAAAGTGAACAAATACCAGCAGTAGGATAGACTGGGACGTCACTATAGTGTGATTCGCTATAAAGCAGGTTTAAGTACACAGTGCTATAGTCTATAATATCTAAAGATCACTGACAAAAAACACAATTTAATCGGAAAACAATCACTGGCTTGTACACATAGGGGGTACTCGATTGCCAGTCCAGAATGTTCCGAATAGACAGAATTGCAAACTAGTGACCTAGAATTCAGTCCTGTCACAGTTCCGCCAGTCCCGACAATGGAAGTGGACAGGTGGTGTGAGTAGAATTGTGACGTAATCAAACACAACGATTATGTTTCAGCTGTCATGGTTGGTTGAGATATTTACTTATTCAGTCGGTGCATGCGTTGCAGCCCAAAAATACCACTTTTCACACGATTGTCACTATTTTGGGGATAGAGAGAATTCAATTCCGGAATGTTCAATCGAGTAGCCATATATACGTATACATGTAGCACAAAGCAGTATATGTATCAACCAGTGATTGTTTTTCCATATAAATTGTTTTGTGTTTATTATTGTGCTCAACTGCTACATGACTCGAGGGTTATACGAGTCTCACTATAGCATATATAGACTTGTCTGCAATATCACCCACAGGTGGAAGCGAATGTTATACCCACAGCTACTACATATATATACTAAACAGGTATATATAATATCAACTCTATAGTAAAGTCCCAGTACAGCCTACCCCTTTAGACCCCAAAACAAATACATGATAAAATATAATGATGTAAAATTATGAAGATGTACATTATTTCAAAATCAATATTATAACTCTTCCTTCGAACTCTTTCCAAAACTAACTGTGGCATGTTCACGCATAAACTTCTCAAAATCTTCAATTTCACGTTTTCCTTCAAATTTAATAGGATTTTCTTTGTCCTTGGCTGTCGCAAAATAAATTGTAGGAAATCCTTCTGTTTTAAAGTTATCAGGACTGTCATTTGCAGTAGCGTCTATTTTAGCGATGACCAAATTTTTCTGATCCTTAACTTGTTTAGCAAGTTTTTTGTAAATTGGATCAAGTTGTTTACAATGTCCGCACCATGGGGCGTAAAACTCAATTAACACATCCTTCGTCTTGTCCAAAACGACCTCCTCAAAATTCTTACCAACCACAACTTTAACAGGCCCTGATTGTTTCTTAGGTATCGGCTGGGACCTAATTTCTGATGACAATTTGCCTGAAAATGAATATTCAAAATCTACTAGGTAATATATAACATCCATATGATCAATAACTCGGCATTTAAGGCCTTTGAAAACTCTAGAGCTGAAATCCAAGCTACCGTTGATATTTTGATACATTATGTAAGAGAAATCCAAGAGGCCTATAAAATCCTCAAGTAATGTTGCCAACTTCTGCTTTCATTTTCATTCTTTTGTATGTAATGAGAGAATCTACAGGTTACTAAAAATTGGTCAAGAGCAACAACCCATGAAGTAATTACCAGTGTAAAATTGATAGGATTCTTGTTTTTCCTAGCACTAACAAAAGCCTAACTGGTAATCAACTGTTTCGAATTATCAAAAATTAGCTTTTTCATCTCATAAATATGAAAACTATACAGCTTTTCATTCTCATGAATATGAAAATGAGGAGGCTTCTTCTTCTCATGTTTGGGGGTGTGGTCGATTGAATGAGTTAAAGAGATATCAACCTGAAAGTAAACAGGTCATAATACTCTCGATACTTGACAATGTAATGATCAACTCAATATGACTACTCATCAACTCAATATGACTACTCATCAACTCAATATGACTACTCATCAACTCAATATGACTACTCATCAACTTAATATGATCACTGATCAACTCAATATGATCACTCAACAACTGAATATGATCACTGATCAACTCAATATGATCACTCATCAACTGAATATGACTACTTACCTTTTTTGAATTTTTCTAAAAATTCTTTTATCTCATCACTGTCAAATTCTTCCATGGGTTCCATTTTATATTTTTTATTATCTTTACCAATGATACCAATATTAATTTCTTCAGGTGAATCCTCCAAACCAAACTGTTTTATCAACTGGTCAAAATCTTCTTCGTTGGCCACAGCAAATGTTATATCACGATAATCCTGTGCAATATTGGCAATTTTGTTTCTCCATAATTGAGTTGCTGTAAAACAAAGATTTAAACTGATGTGTAAGAGTTTAACCTCTAGTTGACAGAAACTATAGGTCATTTCGAGAATCTAACATATCTTCTTTGAATGACATTTGGCAACTGATACGCGTAATACAAACAAAACAATAATATGGAACACAATGCTTTAATTAAAATAGTAATTGTGTTCCATATTATGGTTTTGTGTTTAATCTAACATATGGTTCAATAATTCACTTGTGCGTTGTGCATAGGGGTGGAAACTGGATGACTCGTAGAAAACCTCTAACGTTGGTCAGTCAACCCTACTCCTTGTCACGTACATGCAGGGAATCAAAATCATGACACTTGACTGAATTCTTCAAAAATGCAAAACGGAATCCATGAAACGTACTTTTCATTATTCTGCATGTCTTTTATGGAACAATCTGCCTTTTGATATAAAGATGTGTAAAAATGTTGAAAATTTTAAGATTAAACTGAAAACTCATCAATTTTGCACACTGTAGGAACCATAATATTCAACTGATGACATACTTATTATTTTTAACTTGCAACTGCATTCTATTTTATTTTGTGTGTAATTATAGTGTTCTTCCTATATTCTACTTGTATAATGTATATGTTTTGTAGTTTGGGAGTGACTTATCAAACTTCCCACTTTAAAATGCTATTGCATTTCTAATGATTTTAAATTTATCCTGATATTACATGTATATATGTCTTTGTAGTTTAGGAGGGACCTATGGAAGATTAGTTTTTTTTTTGCAAACTAAATATGTTGCCTCATTAAATAAAGTTTTTATTATTATTATTATTATTATTAATGAGAGACCTTATGATCTAAAGCGCATGTTAACCAATCTTCCCCACCCCCCCACTCCCCTATGTACACAAGACCTTATAAACTTTTACTTTGTAGATTATCAAACCCTGTCAAATTTTGCAGATTGGGAAAAAAGACATAGAGCACATATTAACGAAGTTGAACAGACGACCCATACCTTGACCCATACCTTGTCACGTACACAAGCTGAGAATCAAAACGCCATTTGATTAAATAACTGACCTTATGATCTACAGCGAATGCATTAAAACATATGGGCTACCAAAACCTCCCATAAGAGATAGGAAAATTTTACCCCACCTCCACAACAAAGATGACGGACGTGATCCAAATGCAGCGCTTCAAAGAGAGAGAGAGAGAAATCAAGACTAACACATGGTTCAATTTTATTCCATTAATGTGCTTGCACGTAGGGGTCTTTAGCAGTGGGAGGAAACTGGAAGACCCGGAGAAAACCCACGAAGTTGGACAGGCTACCCTACCACTTGTCACGTACAAGCAGGGATTCAAAACCGCTCCACTTGACTCAATGACAGACCTTATAATGCAACGGGCACACGTTGACCATTCGGCCACCCCTTGCAACGCTTTTAACCATACAGCCATCCATCACTTCAATTAAAATAAACATATATCAATAAACCCACCTTCTCTATGATCATGTGACCAGTCAACTGTATAAAAAACTAAACACAATGGTCGTAGTTTAGAATATCGTTTCTCCATCGACAGTTGATATTGTCCTACTAATGGAACCTGATATTTCTGAACAAATTCCACTACATCCTTCACAGCCAAATTTTTCTTTAAAAGAAACAAAATCATACCTCAATATAAACATTTCAAATTTTGAATTAAAAAAACCCCAAAATAAATGTAATCTAAAATGGAATGAAACAAGGTTTAACATCCAATGTTTCTGCACCAAAAATGAAATAAAATGGGGTTTAAAATCCTACTGTTCTGCTCCGACAAGGCTAATGAAGACGAGCATACGTCATACAGTGTACTATGAGGGAAATTTTGCCCGGGCAGTGGCACTATGGCCTACTCTTGTATCAAATTCCAACTGCCAGGGGATCTTTTACGTGCACGCCAATGTATACATGGGTCCTCGGTTTTCCGTCCCATACGAACGACTAGACAGTTGTCCTTGTCAGGCCTTTTTCTGTACCGAAGACAGCGATACAGCATACAGTACTAGTGGTGTTATGAGGGAAATTATGTCTGGACAGCAGCACTATTGCCTACTCCTTATTCGGGGTTATTTTATGTGTACACCGGAACCTCCGTTTTTTGTCCCATCTGAAGGACTAGACTCTGCAGTCCCGCACCACTGTCAAGGGGGAAACCATGCCAGAAAATCCTGAGGAATTTTCTCGGCCAGCATGTCACTCACTGAGACATGGCGTCTCCGTGTTCGGAATCTAGAGAAAAACATAAAAAAAAAAATGAAACAGACCACATGCCACATTTCATTTACCTTATGAAGAACATGCCATTTCGGTTCATATTTAGTGTAGAATTTTTCTGGATTTAATATGATCACAGAACTAGGGTTGACTTTATAGGCGTTTCTTGTTGCTTCATCATATGATATCGCAAAGGTAAAATCATCCCTTAGATCATTAGCTATAAAATAAAATACCTTTGTTATACATTGTGGGAGAAACTATATAATGTAAAGGGAATTTACTGAAAATTGCAGTCAAATTGATCCACTCTGAACCTAGATTTTAGTGATTTAATTTTCGTTTATCATTACTTAAGTTGGTAGGATAAAATACATAGTCTCGATTATCCAATTCATGATTAGATCATGAACTGAAGTCGAACAGCAAATCGTAACCTAATCCAATAAACATTGCAGGCTAGCGATGACATCAAGAGTTAATTATGATCTGGACAAGTTAATTAATATCTAATTCATAATTTAGATAAGATTTCAGGCCTAAAGAAGGACATGCAATAGACAGATTTACCTATTGCATAATGCATGTTTTAAGTAACGATATATCATTTGTATTTTTTCGCTAAAATATAAAACTTCTCATAGCTTAATACATGCTAAATATGTAGCCAGATTGATTATTTAACATTTAAACAACAGCAGTAGAGGATGACGCAACTCTTGTAAAGTGTGGTCAAACTAAAGACCTGCAATAGGTAGATTTAACTTTCATATAAATAATCAATTTGATTACGCCTTCAGTTCAATGTGATTTAAGTCGTGACAAACCTAGAAACGGTCAAAAAAGTGAAAATTATATCAGCAAACTTTAAAGGGACTATCCCTTATTTGAACAGAGTCTCAAAAATAAAAGTCTGAGTTTGTATGAAATTTAAACGCCAAAATAAAGAGGAATGGTGTATTGAGCGTATCTCAAAATTTCAGCTCAAAATATTGAGTCGTTTGGACGTGACCGTCAAAACTGCTTATCCTGGCACGTAACCCTTTTAAGATTTCGGGTCAATTTTTTCGTTGGGAGACCTGATAATCGATTCCCGTTCATTGAGAGGTCTATACAGTGATTGACCCAAATGCTGTACTTGATAATGAAAGATAAATTTTACCTACACATTACTTTTATACAAAAAATGTTTGGTTTTATCTAGACAACGCATAATACAGCTTTGGACACCGGTCTCCATTTCCAGATGAAAACTGACAGGTTTCAGTTATTTGAAAACTTATCACAAATATTGAGTTAGTTGCTCGGCCCTTAGGTAGAGGATTTTAAGGCATTTTAAAACAAAATTAAACAGTTTTATTCTCCAAAAAATTATCGGGATTAGCCCTTTAATTTTTCCATTTAATTTTTATTAACATACAATTCTCACATAACAAATCTATTTGGTAAACCCAGATTATTACAGTCTTCCTCAAAATCAGGTTGATTTATTATCAAAGTTTATTCTGATCAGTTAAAGTAACGATCTGACGTGTCTTTGGCATTTTTCGCAAAAATATCAAATTTCTCAGATTAATCCCCGTTAAAGATACACCATGTTGAATTTAGATAAAGAGCTAGCCATTCTTGCTATAATAGCTCAAAAATAGATAATGTAAAATGAAAATATTGAAAATTTCATTCAAATTACTCCATTCTGAGCTAAGTTATCACTGTTTGTAGTTTTGACAAGATGTGTGCATCTTGTAACCAGGGCACCGGTATATTCGAGACTTAGCCTCGCATTCCATTTTTAAATTAAAAAGTGTTCATGGAACCTATTCCACTGACAAGGGGAAACAACGACGAGAAATTCTGATCATCTCGGTCAACACAGGGATCGAAGACGGAACCCCTAGGTTAGCGAGTCAACATCTTACTCACTGAGCCACTGTGGCTCCTGCACAATATTGTAAAATGCACGGGCTTCCTACAGCTCTAAAATAACGCATCAAGACTTTAAGAGAGAGAGAGGGAAATGGGGTTTAACGTCCACTCGACACAAACTAGGTCATTTCGGGACTAACATATGGTTTTAATTTTATTTCAATAATTCGCTTCATAGGGGTCTTTAGCATTGGGAGGAAACCAGAGGACCCGGAGAAAACCCACGAGGTTGGACAGGCGACCCTACTCCTTGTCACGTACAACCGGGGATTCGAAACCACGCCAGTCAACTAAATGATACAGCGCGCGTGTGCTAACTATTCAGCCATCCAACCCCCCATCAAGACTTTAAACTCCCAAGATCATAAAACATTTTATGAACGGAACTGAACCGTTTTTGGACAGACATTAATATTAGAGAATCATCTTTTATTGTAAATCAGTGTATATACTTATAAGGTTTCCCCAAGATAATAAACAGTTATTGAATATGAATTTATTGTTAATAAATATAATCGGAAGTCATAACACACGTCACAGCTGTCATATAATCTATATTAACTACAGATTTATTGCTTAATTTGAAATTTTAAAAAATCAATCGTTTCTTTTAATACTTAAATCAAAGTTGTTTTGTTGAATTTAAAGGGTGTGTGGCTCTATTTTTGGGTCCACCGGACACAAACTAGGTCATTTCGGGACTAACATAGGGGTCTTTAGCAGTGGGGGGAAAGTGGAGGCCCCGGAGAAAACCCATGAGGTTGGACAGACGACCTACTCCTTGTCACATACAACCAGTAAAATAGACGAAATGTGTCTATATAGCACATATTAAACATGCATTATGCAAGAGCAAAATCTGCTTATTACAAGTCTTTCTTTAGGCCTGAAATGTTATCTAAATTATCAATTAGACATTAATTAACTTATCCAGACCATAATAAACTCTCGATGTCAAGGCTAGCCTTCGATGTAGGCTGTATTAGATTCCTATATGCTGCCAACGGCCAAAGATAATTAAATCAGAAAAAGTGGATAATCAAGACTATGCTGTTTATATTAATGATTTTAGTAATGATAACCGAGACTATGCAAAAATTTCACCGGCTTCTTTCTCGGCTCATAGTGGATCAATTTGACTGAAATTTTCAGGAAATTACCTTTACACTATGTAGTTTTTAACTATTATAGCGAGAACTGCCATCTCTTTATCTTATCTCCCATAATGTATCTTTAATGTAATATGAATCTATATACAGTCATTTATAATCAATCTTTAAAAGAAATATTGTAATTATGTTCGATGAAATATGTGTACAGTTCAAATTAAAACGACAGTCCTTTGTGTCTGCTTACACTTGTCTTTTTTTGTTATTATTTTGCAATTACTATTTTCAATTACCCCCGCGTTGTCTTCTGGGATATGCTTTCCTTTTTTCATTTCAAACTATGCTAGAAATTATTATATCCGTAGAATACCCGACTCCTTTAATGATTACAAAATGTTCATTATGTCTTAAATATTGGAAATTAGGATTTCATATTTTCATGGCAAGATAACATCAATAACAATGATTGAAATGGACCAATAATGAATTCTAATTTGTGTTTTCATTAATTTCGACTATTATGAAAAATATTGAGTTAAGCCACTTTAACCACATCCTCATTTTTTTGAGAAGATTAACGTCACACACAACCAGATCTTTGAGAAAATTTACATCATAAACAATCAGATCTTTGTAGATTTACGTCATACACAATTAGATACAAAATCAAAATTTGGAATAGCTTTTAACAATTTTCTCACCACTTCTTGGATTTCCTGTATATGCGGTTGATTGATAATTTAAGAATAGTCTAATGATTTTAACTGATTATTCTGTTGATTTTGAGAGAGAGAGAGAGAGAGAGAGAGAGAGAGAGAGAGAGAGAATCATTATCTTACCAGCATCCATGTAAACACGAGCATTAGCATCATCAACATCATCGAAGAAACCAACAACAATAATATCTCTATCTTTAATCATGTTATTCAGAGCTTGTTGATTAGGAACGGGTTTTGCTGCCTCACCAGCCTGTGATATCATATAGTTGACAATACCTTAAATATAAAATAATATAATAGATCAGCTTTATAATAATAATAAATCTTTTAATTATAATATTTTACAGGATATATCATTATGGAGTGCAAAGTTGAATTTGTTAAAGTTGAATAATACAATTAAGATAAAGTCAAAGTATTTGATAATAGTTAGTGCAAGTGGATCGCACAATACTGAATGAATAAAATGGAGTTTAACGTCCTACTGTTCTGCTCCTATACTGGGCTAATGAAGACGGGCATACGCCATACAGTGTGCTATGAGGGAAATTTTGCTCGGGCAGCAGCACTTTCGCCTACTCTTATATCGAATTCCAACTGCCAAGGGATCTTTTACGGGCATTCCAATGTATACACGGGACCTCGGTTTTTCGTTTCGTCCTTGTCAGACCCTCCGTCCTGCATCACTGACAAGGGGAAACCACGCCAGAAAATCGCGATGAACTTTCTCGGCCAATGCAGGGATCAAACACCCGACCTCCAGGCTAGCGAGCCAGCGTCTTACCCAATTAGCCACGGGAACCCCCCGCACACATACACGCAAACAAAACAAACAAGACAAACAACTGAGACATTGCAAGAAATACACAACAAATCATATCAAACCAAGCGATTGGCTCGAGGGGCCAGTTATAAGCGTCCACTGCATTTCAAGTGACATCAAAACAGATAAAAAATGTGACGTCTAGAGTGTCCACAAAATAAAAACATGATATTTCGTACAATCAGGGGTCATAATCCTTGAAGTTAAGGTCCAATACATGTACATGCCAATATCGAAAGGAACTGAGATCTTTGGGATATAAGCCTCTTTGTGAAGTTTCGTCAAAATTGATAAAAATCGTGACCTATAGACTGTCCACAAACAAAATGTGAACATACAGACAGACAGGGGTGACAACAATATACATCCACATGAAAATGTGGGCATATAAAAATAATAACATTGCATGCTCAAATATTGCCTCATATCATCAAAACATCGGTCCTATAGTGTGCATAATAGTTTAAATAGTTTACTGTAAGTTCAAATGTAATTTGACTTGTTGTGTAAATTAACACCGAAAAAATCTATAAAGGCATGTACACTATAACACAAATAAAAATCCCAGAAGGCTACTAGCAAAAAAAGAAGCTTAAACATACATTTGTACAAGTCTTTTTTTTTATGACACAAGGGAAGGAACTCTGTATTAAAAGCAATATCACCTCTGTGGAAGCGGACGTAAAATACAACTAACTCACATTAAAAGTGTATCTTGACAGGAGAGGGAAAGAGAGAATAACAGTAACCTATTATTATTTTAATAATTCACTTCAGGGTCTGAGAAATGAAATAGGGCTCTGCTCGGACAGGGCTAATAAAGACGGACCTTAGTCATTACAGTGTGCTATGAGGGAGATTGTCCCAAGACAGCATCCCTACTGCCTACTCTTGTACCAAATTCCATCTGCCAATGTTTTTTTTCCGTTCACGCCATTGTGTACACGAGACCTCAGCTTTTCATCCCATCCAAAGGACTATACATTGACCCTTGCATTCCCTCCGTTATGCATCACTGACAAAGGGGAACCAAGCCGGAAAATCCAAATGAACTTCCTCAGCCAACCGGGATCAAATACAGGACCTCCAGAAGAGCAAGACGTCATATTTACTGAGCCATCAAGGCTCCCACAATGGCCTGGTCACAATCTGATTAAAACACAGATCCTATTTCGTTTCGTTCAAACTTTCGTTTTACTTGTCTTTACTACACTAGGATCTGGAAGAGTTGTTATATAACCTACTTTCTGGTTGATGTGAGGAATTAGTCAATAAAACCATCTCTTTCAGCGACTTCTTGGCATGCCATGCACGGAACTGTGGGTAAACCATTAGAAACATCAACGCTGATCGATTAATCAATAACTGACGTCATAGGGTCTAAAGCCGTTCAAACGACCTCTGACCCGAGTCGCGACCTTTTATTACAACAGGTCAGATTTTCCTGTAGTGTAGGCCATCGAAAGTATAAAAAAAATGAAACGAAATATAGATCTGTAATCAGATTGGCTGAGTCAATATCTTTCAGTCAATTTATATGCTAGAAAATTAAAATATTTATTTCAAATGTTTTATATATTGTTCTGTTTGTTGAATAATTCATACCTCGTTGGTCTCTTTCGCCATCATAATTCTTTGGCCTGCCTTTTCGGAAAATCTTGAGTGTAGGGTAACCAGTCACATCAAATCTCTTGGCTAATTCATTCTGCTGTGTAGCATCTACTTTCGCTAGAATTATAGGAGGTTGGTGATGTTTTAATTGTTGAGCTGCCTTTTCATAGGCTGGGGCAAGCTGCTTACAATGTCCACACCTAAAATATATTATTAGAAATCTAAAACAACATGTTCGGTTGATACCCGAGTCCAGAATATTGTTCCAGTTCGCTTTCTAAAATATCTGTTATTCGATATCAGTTTAAAACTAATGAAAAATATTTAACATATTAATTCAAGAGAGAGAGAGAGAGGGGGGGGTAACTCCACTGACACAAACTAGGTCATTTAGAGACTAACACATTGTTCAATTTTATTTCAATAACTCACGTGACTTTAGCAGTGGGAAGAAACCAGAGGCACCAGAGAAAACCCATGAGGTTGGACAGTCGATCTTAATCCTTGTCACATACAGTAGAACTTGCTCGGGCGTGCACTCCTAATCAGCGAACACTTGCTTCAACGTGCACCAAAAAATCCCCCCCCCCCCCCCCTAGCGATTTTTAAGTAATTTAACCCCTACTAAACACGCACCTGTTCAACGCATGCAATGGGCATCACGATTAATTCCCCCCGTAAAAATTCGACTGTTTCAACGGTCACTCCTCTGACGCGGCCAGCGGTCACTACTTTACTAATAAATTTTACAAAACATCGCCCATTCAACGGCCATTGTTGAATGATACCATCTTGTCGTTCTTTCTTTGTAACACTCCCGCTAATTCCGTGAGTAGTAGTTAATTAACTGGACCCCCACTGATCAGGTAAAAAGAAATGTAAAAATAACAATCAACCCGGGATTATCTGTTTATTAATCTTTTGTTTTATTAAACGACTAACCTGATCATTGTTTTCACGAGTAACGACACATTATTTGATACTGATTGAATAAAATGAAAGTACCGAGTTTTGTCATGATCAACTAGTATCTTTTAGCCACTTTGTCGTTAAACAGACCTTTTAGCGCCCCTTTAATATTACATACAGAGTTACACCCCCTGTAAATTGGTGATAAAATCAGCGATGTTTTTTTTGTTCATGTGCTTTTTTGATAAAATAAAATTAATTCATCGATTTTCTTTGCAAAAATGGATAAATATTATCGAATGCATCACAATGGTTGACACTAGTATCGAAGGTTGGTACAAAATGACAAGTTTACAGAAGTTATGTGCGAGATTTGAGTAAAGAATTTTCGTTTGGCGCAAGATTCAGCGACGGTCAAATTTATCGATGCAAGTATTGATGTTGACTCCCAATGCACCCAAGCGTAATTAATTTATGTCAACACAAAAACCACCGAGATTTTATTAAGTGGTCGCGTAATTGCTAAAATAGTTGGGGTGAGAAATACTCAAATTCACGGCATTTTGAAACGCTTTTAGGCGCTAAGATTCAGTATGATGAAAGTAAAAGAAATATTGGGGGGGGCCAGAGATCCAATATTACTAAACAAAAATGTATACGCGACTACTTTGGATTCACAACTAGATAAAAAGTACATGTATTGTTATTGTTATACTACATGAATAAAAAAATATCTGCAATCTATATCTTTATTTTTTGTGGTAGGGGTTGGGGGAATATTGGATACCTCTAGTCAAAGAGCACCTCCATTAAGCAAGCATTTTTAAATTTCCCTTGGGTGCTTGCTTAATACAAGCAGGAAATCGAAACCACCACAGACAAGGGGAATCCACGCCGGAAAATTCTGATGAACTTTCTTGGCCAACACCGGGAGCGAACCCGCGACCTCACAAAATTAAGAAAGACATAAATATGCTATAATAATTGTCACAGAACAGTCAAAAAAATTAAGTATACATGTATATTCACTACTTACCAAGGTGCATAAAATTCCACCAAAATAAGTTCCTCCTTGTTGACTATATCATCAAAATTATCATCTGTTAAAGTTATTACAGCTTCTGGTGGTGGTTTCCAGTTAGGATCGGCTCTTTCTTTCATATATGATATAATACCTACAATTCATTAAATAATGTATTTAATAATAAGTAGTACATTGTATTAAACTGTTTATTATTAAAGTCACAAGATGCTGATGTCACCCACCCATATGCCAGTCCATGCCAACAGAGTCCGACTCATTTCATTTCACCATTCAACATTTAATCAGTATTAGGCTGACCTTAAAAATATCTTTGTTTCGCCTAACGCGACCGACTAACTAAAACCACCCCCGACTTCAATTATTTTATTGCACTTTTCCGCGATCTTTTTATTTTATTTTGTGTGTCAACCTGAAATATATCACGAGAGTTATTTCCCTTTACTATGGCTATGGTTTGATTCATTATTGAAACTGGTTGATCAAGACGAAAGCATCATAGGTGTCGCTTCTCAACAAAATGGTTGTAGACGAAAGCACATCCATTCCCACGAAATGATTCTGCCTCTATTTTTCTCGAAAACGGATATTGAATATCTGTTTTCGAGAAAAATGAAGGCACAACCCGCACGATCGTTAAAAAACGTGTTGAGGGAGTTTCAAACGTCAGTTTCTGGCAATTCGTGTGCGAGTCGTGCATCACGAAAAATCCTGATGTCATTGATTTGTTTGACAATAGGCTAAAAGAAGACGAATGTTTGCACCCGGAAAATTATCAAGCTGTCAAATTAGCTCTTAAAAAAAAATCTGAAAAAAAAACCCGACCTACCGACCCTTCTCCTCGATTGTGGGTCGGGTTTGGTGAAACAAAGATATTTTTAAGGTCAGCCTTATGTATGGTTTAATGGTCGAGAGCGTGACATTAAGTAATATATTGATATTGCACAAGACGTTAGCCGAGTGTTGTTTCAATATATTACGCAATGTCTTTAGCTCGAGACCATTAAACAACTTAAAATATCCCACACATGCTTTTCAATGAAATACGTCATGCAAGTCCAATATTTCATCTAGTATAGATAATGTACGATTGGCAAGTTGACCGTACATTATTGGAAATAATGGTACGCCAACATCAAAGGATGACGTCACATCTGTATCTTAAATCTGTTTATTAGTAAGAAGAATAATGCGTTTGATCTACAAATTAAAACAGACTGTATCAATGAAAACCTCACGCAATGATTTTTACCTGCACTTTGTCTAGGTCCATCATAATCAGATGGTTGTCCATTTTTAAATACTTTCAGTGTGGGATATCCACTCACTTCAAATCTGCAACAATAGAAATGAAATAGGGTTTAATATCCTAGGACGCGGAGTTTTAACTCTTCGTCTTTGGCCTTACAAAAGACGGCATCAAACTGAAATGAAATACGGTTTATGCTACTTTTCTGCACCAATCGAAATGAAATGAAATGGAGTTTAACGTCCAACTGTTCTGCTCCGAACTGGTCTAATGAAGACAGGCATATGCCATACAGTGTGCTATGAGGGAAATTTTGCCCGGACAGCGGCACTACTGCCTACTCTTATATTGAATTCCAACTGCCAAGGGATCTTTTACGTACACGCCAATGCGTACATGGGACCTCGGTTTTTCCGAATGACTAGACAGCTGTCTTTGTCAGCCCCCCCCCCCCTGTCCTGTATCACTGACAAGGGGGAACCACAGCGGAAAATCTGGATGAACTTTCTCGGCCAATGCAGGGATCGAACACCCAACTTCCAGGCTAGCGAGCCAGCGTCTTACCCACTTAGCTATCGTGACCCCCTGCACCAATCGAGCTAATGAAGAAGGGTATATGCCACACAGTGTGCTATTAGGGAAAAGTTGTCTGGACAGTAGCATTTCCACCTTTTCTTCCTCAAATTCCAGGTCATAGGTTCTTTAACGTGCACTTTAGAATACAACCAGTGGTTGTTTCCCAGAGCTCTGTTAACACCTAAATAATAGTGTATATAACACTTGAAGCTAAAAGAAAGACATGCAATAACCAAATTTAGCTCTGACATAATGCATTTCTAATACTAAATTAATATAGTAGTATAATGTCAGATGTACAAATTGTGTATTTACCTTGAACCAAGTTCTTCTTCTACTGTTGCATCAACTTTCCCTAACGTTACTGGGGGATCATTGTCTTTTAATGTCTTGGCAGCCTCTGCATATTCTGGTGCCAATGATTTACAATGTCCACACCTGAAGGAGAACAAGTCATTGTATTTATTCCATTCATAACAATATAAGATCTGCAAGATGTTTGCAGTATTTCAATCTGATAAAAACACAGATAATTTATGATAATATTTGGTATATTTTTCTATAGTTTATGACGATTACCATGACTACCACAGTTTAAGACGATTACCATGACTACCATAGTTTAAGACGATTACCATGACTACCATAATGCTATTATAAATAACAGTGCAATATAGTAACATCAAATAAAACTAAGTCACTCATCCACCCAGAGAGAGAAAAAGAGAGAGAGAGAAATGGGTTTAGCTCCACTTGACACACACTAGGTCATTTCGGGACTAACACATGGTTCAATTTTATTTCAATAATTCACTTGCGCGTAGTGGTCTTTAGCAGTGGGAGGAAACTGGAGGTAACAGAGAAAACCTACATGTACAATGCTGGACAGGCGACCCAACTCCTTGTCACATGCAACCGGGGAATCGAAGCCGCGCCAGTTGACTCAATCACAGACCTTATGATACAGCGCACACATGCTAACCATTCGGCCATCCAACCCCGCTCAGCCACCCAACCCCTTAATGCAATTTGTTGACCTCCTAAAACTTCACACTGAATGTGAATAAGGCCACATCAATTTGATGTTTTGTTCTTCAGGCCTGGAAATAACGGTTCTAGATGTACCTGACAATATCAATCAAAAAGACAAATCAATGCCAGACAAAATGACAGGCATCAGAGGTTTTGTGCCAATCTGATTAAAATGCAGATCTATACTTCGTTTCGTTTTTTTACTTTCAATGGCCTACATTACATGAAGATCTGACCGGTTGTAGCGATAAGTCGCGTCAGAGGTCATATGAGTGGCTTTTGACCCTATGACATCAGACATTTGATTAACCAATTAGCATTGATGTTACTAGTGCATTACCCACAGTTCCGTGCAAAACATGCCTATAGCTCGCTGTAACAGGGCGTGTCATTGGCTAATCCCTCACACCATTCAGAACATGTCAATGATAACAACTCTTCCAGATCCTACTGTAGTAAAGACATATAAAACGAAATTTTGAACTATAAAAACGAAACAAAATAGGATCTGTGTTTTAATCAGATTGAGGTTTTGTGTCTGACAAAGCCTGAATCTGTGCCTGACATTGTCTGTGACAGTTGCCTTATTTCCAGGCTTGTTCTTGATAAATAAAAAGCAACATGAATTAGGTGAAAGATGTTTTGTTTAAAATTTCAATACTTAAAAATTGGAAACTAAAAGAATCTTAACAGTGCAACCAAGTTCTTGTGGTTTTTACATTAGTCTTTTTGCTGAAGAGATAAGAAATGTTTTAACAGGAACCAAATTCACAAATGATTCTCAGACTAAAGTTAAGAATTTACTCAAAATTATTTGCCTTATTTTAATAAAAATATAACCCTTTATAACACTTTAGAGCGTTTTAATGTATCAAATACATCAATAAGAAACTATGTGCAGAGATATTTCTCATAAACGGTGATTGAAAGTTGAGTAAATTTTTAACATAAGTCTGAGAATGCTTTGAGAACTACGGGCCAGAAAATCAAATTGATCTGGCCTAACAACTTCAACTAACATACCATGGTGCGTAAAATTCTACCAGAACATTTTCTCTTGTGTTGATGACTTCATCAAAATTACTGGTAGTTAATACTAGAACATTATCTTCCTCTTTTATCTCTCCTCCAGTTTCAACTAAATTAAATCAAATTAATATTCATTAAATAAAGAAGAGAGAGAGAGAAAAATGGGGTTTTTAACATCCAGTCGATACAAGCCAGGTCATTTCGGGACTATCATATGGTTCAATTTTATTTCAATAATTCGCTTGTGCATAGGGGTCTGTAGAAGTGGGAGGAAACCGGAGGAACCAGAGAAAACCCACGAGATTGGACAGGCGACCCTACTCCTTGTCACATACAACCGGGGAATCGAAGAAACCATGCCACTTGACTCAATGACAGACCTTATAATACAAGGCGCACATGCTAACCACTTGGCCACCCCCCTCCCCCCCCCCCCACACACACACACACATTAATTAAAGAAAGGAAATTAAACTTTTCTGTACAAGACAGGCTATGAGGGAAATTTTATCGGGGTAACAGCACTACGGCCTCTTATACTGACTTCCAACGGTCAAGGGTTCTGTGATGTGCACCTAACGTATTCACAGGCCTTCTCTTCTTCATCCCATCCCAACAACTAGACATTGTACTAATGACAAGACAAGGGGAAACCATGTTGGAAAATCCTGGGGATCTTTCTCAACGTATACCAGGATCGAATATTCAAACCCCAGCCCTTCCATTAATTATTTAAAGATATATTTCCTCACTACTAACACATGTAACTGGTACCAAATTGTTTGTTAATGCAAAAAAACATGTATTTTAACAGGTATCCATATTTCAAGCCAAGCATTTCAAACATTAAGACACTTGCCGGTATAGAGAATGAATATTACTCAAGTTTATTTACATAATTCGTTTCTAAAACTTCGCTTTTCCTGGTCATCAGAAATATCACACTTTCATATAACACTAAGTTTTGTGCATCTAGGATACATGAATTAATGTTTGTTGGAAAAGGGTTTTAAAAGTACGGTAGTATATTAAATACAGAATACAACTTCTAACTACCGTATAGATAGGTGGATTAGTCACACCTTTTTTTACCAAATATTTTAATCTTTAGAAGGGATGTCACACTTTTTTCATCTTATTTTAATCTTAAGAGATGCACCTAATGCATAATTGTTAAACAAATCTTTGATTTATATTAAGAAAGGGAATTAACCAAGCTTTCGATCTAAAAGATGCATCAGAATTCTTAAAAGCTCAGAAACGTCTGAAAACGGACAAAAGACAGCCTTTTCTCACTACGACTTTTCCCTAGCATAGACATATAAAAGGCTGGGGAATGATAAACTTCATATAAAGTTTCATTACATAAAATCTAGACAAAGACAACCTATTGACAGCTTGAATGAACTCATGAAATGAAATGGGTTTTAACGTCCTAGTGTCCAATTCCGACTTGGCTATTGAAGACAGGTATACGCCATACAGTGTGCTACCGGTATGTATGAGGGAAATTTTGCCCAGGGCAGTGGCACTATGGCCTACTCTTATATCGAATTCCATCTGCCAAGGGATCTTTTACATGCATGCCAACGTATACACAGGATCTCGCTTTTTTCATCCCATCCGAACGAACTGACAGCTGTCCTTGTCATTCCTTCTGTCCCTCACCACTGACAGGGGAAACCACGGCGGAAAATTCTGATGAACTTTCACGGCCAATGCAGGGATCGAACACGCTACCTCCAAACTTACGCGCCAGCGTCTTACCCACTTAACCACCGTGGCTCCCATGAACAAGTTTTATGAAGAGGGTGGAACTGACCGTATTCGACTGCAGGTGTCGCAAATTTAAATAATAAAATAAAAATAATGTGGATCAAGCTATGATTTCTGAAGGTGGCAGGCTGGGAGTTATTCCACCTGCTTGGTGACTGAGCAAGTATTTTCGAAGTGAAGAGAGGGGGACAGTTGTTATTGACATTGTTGTAAACTAGAAACTTATTTAGTCCGAATAAAAATCAAGAGTAAAATTAGCTTTCGTGTTTACCGTCGGGCTCCTCTTCGTCATTGTTGTCATCGTCTGCAAAAACTGACGTAAGGCATAGAGATGCCAAAAACAGAAAACGGTAGCCAATTCGCATGTTAGTTTCTTAGGAAGCGTGCAGTAAGTTCTTCTTAATACACTGTATGTATGTATGCCGGTGTCGCCGTCAACAAGGTGGAAGGCCAAACAACGCCATCGATGCTCAACCGGATACGCATACGGTACAGATATAGTTCATATATATTATTCGAATTGATATAAAATGGAAGTCACTATTCAACAGATACTTAATTATACTTAGTTAGACATATTCCCTCAGTATATTCCTTTCCAAACCATTATCTGAATTTCATTTGATGCCTAATTAAGAATTGTATACGTATGAATATTGTTACTTTAAATAGATAACCAATGACTGTGTGCCAAGTTATTTCTCAGACGATATCAAACCGAAAATAGGCACACGTGTTAAATAGCTATTGATGAACGTATTAAAGCGGCAATAGGCATTTTACTATAATAATGTGTTGAAATGTTTGGTGTTGCGCTGTCTTTGTTACGTGTTAGCGTTTACTGAGAAACTCAACTATTATAAGATTTATTTAGAAAGGAACGTATAGGCCTACATTATATACATAATGTCATGGGCGGATGAAGCGAGCCCATCAGGCAAAGGGATTATTATTAGGGCCCATCGCCCCGAATAGAGAAAAAAAATTAACAGAAATGTTTCAAAATGCATAAAATTCATCTCCAATACACTGAAAAATATAATGGCCTAAATCCGTGGAGAAAAATGATCTACGAGTAGGCTATACCGTCATCATGCAAGGTCCATATACGGTGCGGGAAAAGTGAATCAGGCTAGTTTCGTTTTCTTCATTCCTATAGTCCATGGGTCACCAAACTACGGCCCGCCGTTGTCTACTTTTTATGGCTTACTTTTTATGCGATTCAACGATGTGCGTAATTACTAACTAGCAATCGGTTTCACAGAGAATTGCGAGTGGTAATATTCACAGTGAATTACGAGTAGGCCTAGTAATATCTCTGTCAAAGATGACTGCCTTAACACGTGCCGTCACAGCACGCGGGGTCAATCATTGGCTGAAAGGCGCGTGCATTGTTTACATAAGACGTTACTGCTTCGGGCGGAATGCTGACTTTTAGTCATTTTAATATCCATTTACACTAAATAGGAAATAATTTTTACCTACAAATACGTCAAACGCCTTTATTTATTTTTCCAATACATAAAAAATATTTTAGAATTTAATTTGTCGCTGTAAAAAAGTTAATATTTCTGGCTCATTAAGTCGCATCGATGCCATCCTTATCAGTGATTGTAGCGGCCTAGCGAAAATTCACTGCTGATCAGTGTGACTAACTAGCTGTGATATAACTGTCTTATTACATCCTAAAATTTGTATAATGTTCTAACTTGGTGATATTTTGGTAAAATTAAAATATTTTTATTATTTTGTGTATTTCATGTATTGATAAATAAATAGAATGGCTATCCTTAAATTTTGTGTACATTCGGTGTATTCAGTATTCAGTGTGTTGTTTTGGACAAAATATTTATCCGGCCCGCGCTCGGCATTGTTTCAGTTATATCTGGCCCACTATGAAAAAAGATTGGTGACCCCTGCTATAGTCTAATGGGGACTCAAGGAAAGTTTAGGAAACCAGTTAGTTCGGCGCTACCCAGTCCACCCTGACCATGTCGGTATTTTAGGGATATTATTCTAAATCGCCAAGCAAATTAAAGGGACCATCCCGATTTTTACAGGTTCCCAGAAATAGAAGTCCGTGTACGTGTGAAATTTAAGCACCAAAATATAGAGGAATTGTGTATTTACCCTGTCGCACACTTTCACCTCAATATTATTGAGTCGTTTGGGCGTGAACGCCGAAACCGCTTATCCGGACACGTAACTTTAAGATTTCGGGTAAATTTTTCCTTGGGTGACCTGACAATCTATTGCCGTTCCTTCAGAACATGACCCACGTGCTGTATAACGAACGGCAAATTTCACCTACACGTTATTTTTATATAATAAAAGTCTGGTTTTTATCCAGACACCGTATAATACAGCTTGCGACACCGGTCTCCATTTCGCGATGATGACTGGCGGGTTTAAGTTGTTTGAAAACGTATCACGTAAATTGAGTTAGTTGCTCGGCCCTAAGGTAGAGGATTTTAAGGGCTTTTAACATAAAATTATGCAGTTTTATTCTCCAAAATATAATCGAGATTGGCCCTTTAAAGTAAACAGACAGGTGTGCGTATCTACCTGTCGATCTAGATACTGGACTTTCCACAGGTGCAGCGAAGGTAGCCTTATACGCTGGGAATCATTCCGACATGAGTCACATGACAATTACATTTATGTAAATTGATTAAAATACAGTTCTATATTTCGTTTCGTTTTTGTTTTTGTTTTTGTTTATATATATATATATATATATATATCATAGTATAAAATATAAAAATAACACCGATTTGCTTCTACATGTTTCAATATATTTTCATGGCTTCCTGATGAAAATATATTGAAACATGTAGAAGCAAATCGGTGTTATTTTTATATTTTATACTATGATATATGATACTGTACATTAGAACAACAACTCACTACAGCTATATATATATATATATACACTTTCGATAGTCTACACCCCGTAACAGTCCGTTTCATTAGCGAATCCCTCACATCAATCAGAACGCAAGTTATATAACAACTCTTCTAGATCCTAGTGTAGTTAAGACAAGTAAAACCCAATTTTGAACTATAAAAAAAACGAAATGAAATGGGATCTGTGTTTTAATCAAATTGACATTTATGAGACGCAGCATATTGACATATAACTCCACCACTATTCCACAATAACCGTTTCTAAATGTTCTATTTATTATACCATGTATTATATGGTCCATGTTATTATATACAAGGGGTTATTACAAAATTGAAGGATTATTACAAACCTCCCATCAGCTTATTGGTAAAAGATTAACCTATTATCAGGTTTTCTATGGGGCCGATCTATAGGATCAAATAATCCATCTGATTTCTGTTCCGATTGATAACCAAAATAGCGACGTTCCTTAGTGTGATGAAATGGAACCCATGAACAGGAACCGCACATGGGGGGGGGGGGATCTGGGGGAGGGGCGCATATGCTCTGGGGGCAACAGTTCTTTGGCCGGGGGGGGGGGGGCAATTATTTCAGTGCATACCAAAAATCCCCTTTGAATATTTATGGACTAGTTTGGGCTTGGAGTCCGATATAGCAAAGCACCAGCGTTCGTTTACCCTAAACCTGTGTAGACCGTATACCAGTTCATACTTCAGCAAATAGAGACAGTAGAATTTCCAAGATAGTGGTTTTCGATCAAATGGAGGGTTCAAGTGGAAATATAAACATAAACAGTTTACATATAAAAGTTGATTTAATAAATAGTTATTTAGGCAAAGCGTTAGACGTGTTAAAAGTATACAAAAAAAAATGTATTTTAGAATTTCTATAGTCACATCAAGTCAACCGAGCGCAGGCACTGAATAAAGCAGTTACGGTATTTTGCCCTGGGGTGCCACATAGGCTTGTGGGGGCTCTGCCCATGAAATGAAATGAAATGGGGTTTAACGTTCTACGCTTCTGCACCTAACCTAATTGAAGACGGGCATACGCCATACAGTGTACTATGAGGGAAATTTTGCCCGGACAGCGGCGCTACGGCCTACTCTTATATCGAATTCCAACTGCCAAGGGATCTTTTACGTGCACGCCAATGTGTACACGGGACCTCGGTTTTTCGTCCCATCCGAACGACTAGGCAGCTGTCCTTGTCAGGCCCTCCGTTCTGCGTCACTGACAAGGGGGAAACCACGCCGGAAAATCGAGATGAACTTTCTCGGCCAATGCAGGGATCGAACACCCGACCTCCAGGCTAGCGAGCCAGCGCCTTACCCACTTAGCCACGTGATCCCCGCTCTGCCCATGAACTGCAGGTCTAATATTTTATAATAATAATATTTTTATTCAATCGATCACTGTTTCTCTTTAAAATATGATTATTTCTTCGACCTGGTGAATAGATGGTGTCATTACGGTTCCTTCTTTTTTCTTCAATGCCCCCCCCCCCCACCCCATAGCTCGAAGTTTTGGCAGTTGGTTTTTTTTTTATGTTTACACTTGTTATAACACAATACAACCGTAACTGACCATCCTTATAGAATTTATCTGATTGTATAATCAACTTTTGTTTGAACTGTAAACTTCGTATGCTGTCCATGATGTACGCACAGGCTATAGTCTCGTCTTAAACGGGTTTTATCCCCCTAAAAAACAACAATTTTCCTAGCTCTTTTGGATAAACAAACTGTTTCTTGACAAATGAAATGAAGTGAAATGGTGTCAAAACAACCCTACTTTTTTTAACGGGTTAATAAAGACGGGCATACGTCTAGTTATCATTGAATTCCATCTGCCAAGGGTTCTGTTACGGGTACGCAAGCGTTTACACGGAACCTCGATTTTACCGAACCATCGATGTAACATCCTGTTTTCTAACGAGCTAATGAAGACGGGCAGACGCCATATAGTTTGCTAGTCTTCACAGAACTCAAAATTGCCAATTGGCGTGCACGTAAAAGAACCCTCGTTAGTTAGAGAGAGGGTGAACAATGGGGTTTAACGTCCACTCGACACAAACTATGTCATTTCGGGACTAACATATGGTTCAATTTTATTTCAATTATTCTCTTACGCGTAGGGGTCTTTAGCAGTGGGAGGAAACCGGAGGACCCGGAGAAAACTCACGAGGTTGGACAGGCGACCCTACCCCTTGTCACGTACAACCGGGGAATCCCTTGGCAGCTAGAATTCGAAATAACAGTGCCGCTACCAGGGCACAATTTCCCTCATAGCACACTGTCCGTCTTCATTAGCCCAGTCGGCGCATAAAAGTACGACTTTAAACCCTATTTCATTTCGTTTCACGTAGTTGACAATCTTTTGTTGTACCACGCTGTAATTGTAATAAGTACAGTTAATACACACCCCAGCCCCTCCCACAATTCCTTCTAACCTGTTTATCTTGACGGTGATACTCGAATTTCAATAATTTACGCATTTATGCATAATAACAATATATCTCTACGTTATCGGTCAAACGTGAGTTTAGTTGTTTACAGTGATACCCGGATATTTATACAGTCTGTTATAATGCGTAAAGTTAACCTATTTGTACTGACCAATCAGTGAATAAGATTACTACGTTACACGGGATAAAATAAAAGTAACGTTTATTAAGAGTTTGGAAGGATAGTCGTCGTACGCATGTTTTAATATTTCAAAATATCTTTTAAAAGGTACGAAATTATTTCTTTATTTTCAATTTAATTTAATTTCTAAAAAACAATTATGTACATGTACAGTAAATGTACACTAAAATTTATTATTCAAAGACATTTATTTTGCCATAATTAAATGCTACTTATTTTGGATTATGATAATGATTAATAATAAAAAAAACCATAACTTATCTATGAACTAAATGCTAATTTTACCAAAATCGCCACATTTTCAGAAAAAAAACCCAAACAAAAGCGAAGTAAAGAGGCTTTAACGAAAACACGGAAGCCGATCAATAAATAGGACTGTGACGTAATTTACGTATCTCCATAATTATTCTCCTGCACGATTGCACTGTTATTATTTAGAAACGCCTTTACGATTATTTATATATAGTGATTTGGGGCCTTTACGATTATGATCATATTTCCAGGTGAAAATGAGGCGGAAATCATACGAGCTGAATTCCAACAATAATGCCGTCTATACTATAAACGGTAAGAAATGATACATGTGTATTAATATTCTTTGGATGTTACGATGAGAGCCGCGGTGACCCCGTGTCTAGGGTTCGCTGCTGGTGTTGGCCGGGAAAATTCATCGGGACTTTCCGACGTCACTTCCCCTCCTCAGTGGTGCACAACGGAGGGTCTGACAAGGACAGTGTCTCGTCCTTCGAATGGGGAAACAAGAGAAAACAAGATCGCGTGTAGGAATTGGCATGCATGTAAACCAAAGAACAGTTGGAATGATTGTAGATCGAAGCGCCGCTGTCCGGGCAAAATTGCCCTCATAGCACACTGTACGGCATATGCCCTTCTTCATTAGCCCAGTGCACAGAACAGTAGGAGGCCATACCCCATTTCATTAAATTTAGTTATTTCATTTATTTGGAAAGCTCGTTTAAAGGGACCATGCCGATTTTAACAGAGTCTCAGAAATAAAACGCCAAAATATATAGGAATGGTGTATTTACCTTGTCTAAAAATGTCAGCTCTAAATATTGAGTCGTTTGGACATGAGCCTCAAAACCGCTTATCTGGACACGTAACCCTTTCAAGAATTGGGGTCAATTTTTTCATTGGGTGACCTGGTAATCTATTCCTGTTCCTTAAACATACATTATGCAAGAGCTAAATCTGCCTATCGCAGGTCTTTCTTTAGGCCTGAAATCTTATCTAAATTATTAATTAGACATTAATTAACTTATCCAGACCATAATCAACTCTCGATGTCAAGGCTAGCCTTCGATATCGACTGGAATAGAATCCTATATGCTGCAAACGCTCATTGATAATTAAATCAAAACCATGGATAATCGAGACTATGCTTTTTAACGTACTGACTTTAGTAATGATGAAATAGGCTAGGCAGACATTTACAAAGCTGATATCTCGGTTCATAGTGAACCAATTTCACTGAAATTTTCAACAAATTACCTTTATATTATCTAGTTTTTAACTATTATAGCGAGAACTGTCAGCTCTTTATCTAATCTCCCTTAATGTATCTTTAATGTCTATAAAATAAAAGTCTGGGCCCTTATTCACGAAAACTTAAACTAAGATACAATCGAAATTTTAAGAAATACTGCAATTCGATTGGCTGACCAGTAAAATCAATTTGCATATATCCAATGAAGTTGCAGTATTTCTAAAATTTCGGTTGTAACTTAGTTTAAGTTTTCGTGAATAAGGGCCCTCAGGTTTTATCCTAGCTGAGACCGTATAATACAGCTTGGGACCCCGGTCTCCATTCCCAGGTGAAGACTGATAGGGTTAAAGCAGGGGTTTTTAAAGGTTTCTAACACAAAATTAAGCAGTTTTATTCTCCAAACTATAATCGAGATTGTCCCTTTAAACGAAGACTGAGATAAACAAGGCTTAACGTGACTGTCAGTCAATCTATCCATCCCACAGGACTGCATTTACCAATCCTCATAAACATGTTCAGTGTCATCCGGGTAAATTCATCGATTTGACCTTGACGTCAATGTCAAAAGGTTGTAGCATTCAATGCTTTAAAATATGAATGGAATGGGGTTTAACGTCTTGACAACACAACAGGTGGGTCATTTTGAGAATAACACATGTACGGTTACTATTCTGTTCAAAGAACGATGGCTAATTCCAGCTGTACACGAGTGGACCGCGTTTTTCGTGCTTTCGTGTTTAAAATATGACGTAAAATATGTATGTGTACATGTACGTGTTACGTAGAACAAAGAGACCATAACACACAATACATTTGTTCTTGTATTCAGGTTCCGCTTCAAGTAACTAGTTTATATTATTATATTGCGCAAATAAAATAAGTTGGCCTATTTCTCTCTGATCCCTATCAGTTAATAATGATTTTTTTGCCATACTCAGTAAGGCGTCTAGAATTAACTCAAACCACAATTTCCCGTTTCGCATTCGCTCTTAAATATATATAAACACTTAGCCTATATCCTGTATACTGCTCTCTGAAATGAAATGAAATGAAATGAAATGTGGTTTAACGTCCTACTGTTCTGCTCCTAAACTGGGCTAATGAAGACGGGCATACGCCATGCAGTGTGCTATGAGGGAAATTTTGCCCGGGCAGCGGCACTATGGCCTACTCTTATATCGAATTCCAACTGCCATTTCATTTCATTTCATTTATGTCAGTCTCGGTAATCCAGCCCTCTAGTTAAGTGAAGCAACGGTTACTACAATCATTTTCGCGAGATTTACTAGACGATTACACTGGAATGTAGTAGGATGGTTTACTTGAAAATGAAATGGGGTTTAACGTCCTATTGTTCTGCACCGACTGGGTTAATGTAGGCGGGCATATATGCCATACAGTGTGCTTTGGGGGAAATTACAAAACGGACAGCGGCGCGCCAGGCCACGTCCTCTCTTAACTGAATTCCAGTTGTCAAAGGTTCCCTGACGTGCAGACCAACGTGTTCTTGGGCCTTCTGTTTTTCGTCCCACTCGAACGATTAGACACTGCCCCTGTCACCCCACCCCCCTCCTGCACCACCGACAAGACGAAGTGAAACCATGCTGGAAATTTCTGGGGAACTTACTCGATCAACATTGGCATTGAACACAAGACCTGTGATATAAATTTTACCCGGACAGCGGCGCTACATACGGCCTAGGCCACTATTATTTCCATTTCCAACTGTAAATGGTTCTTTTACGTCTACGCTAATCGGCTAATGTGTACACGGGACCTCGGTTTTTCGTCCTATACGAACAGTTAGAAACTCCTGCACCACTGACTAACTGACTTACCTCGCATTTATGCTAGGTTTCCACTGTCGTGCGATGCGTTACCGGAGGATCACGTGGCTAAGTGGGTAAGACGCTGGCTCGCTAGCCTGGAGGTCGGTTGTTCGATCTCTGCATTGACCGAGAAAGTTCATCCAGACTTTCCGGCGTGGTTTCCTCTTGTCAGTGATGCAGGACGAAGGGCCTGACAAGCAAAGCTGTCTAGTCGTTCCGATGGGACGAAAAACCGAGGTCGCGTGTACATATTGGCGGGAACGTAAAAGATCTCTTGGCAGTTGGAATTCGATATAAGAGTAGGCCGTAGCGCCGCTGCCCGGGCAAAATTTCCCTCATAGCACACTGTATGGTGTATGCCCTTCTTCATTAGCCCAGTTTAGGAGCAGAACAGTAGGGCGTTAAACCCCATTTCATTTCATTTCATTTCGCGATGCGTTACCATGGGTTTCCACTGTCGTGCGATGCGTTACCTTAGGTTTCCACTGTCGTGCGATGCGTTACCATAGGTTTCCACTGTCGTGCGATGCGCTACCATAGGATTGTCTCTGTTGAACCCACGATCTGGTGCGTGCAGATACGTTCGGATACGGTTCGATACGATCAACACGATTGCTACGACTGATGATAAGACCCGGATCGTGATAGTGGGTACCTAGAATTATTAAAGAGCCATCGAACCAAATTAATGAACAAGTACAAATACCATCACAAGTAATCATATCACAAGTCACTCATCGGATCTACTTTATTTTATTTTATTTAAGGTTCGTCGTCGAAATCAGAAATTGTAAAGCCTCCTGATGAGTTGGATACTGGGCGAGAAACCATAAATCAAGATGATTTGGAGGCAAAACCAGAAAAAAAGGAGAACACACAAGTCGTTGGTTTCTTTACACTAGTAAGAACTTTTAACCTTATTACTTGGAGTACGATATACGCGTTTTTATTCCTTACTGTCCCTTCTCGACCAAACCAGGACCAGGACCGCCTTTAACGCATGGGATGTACAACACGTTTGTTTATGGTTTATGGAGAGAGAGAGAAATGAGGTTTCACATCCACTCGACACAGAATAGATCATTTCGGGACTAACACATGGTTCAATTTTATTTCAATAATTTGCTTGCGCGTAGGGGTCTTTAGCAGTAGGATGAAACCGGAGGACCCGGAGAAAACCCACGAGGTTCGACAGGCGATCCTACTCCTTGTCACATACAAACCGGGGAATCGAAACCCCGCCAGTTAACACAATGACAGACCTTATGATATAGCGCGCACGTGCTAACCATTCGGCCATCCAACCCCCACAGCCACCCAATTTTATTTCAATAATTCGCTTGCGCGTAGGGGTCTTTAGCAGTGGGAGGAAACCGGATGACCCGGAGAAAACCCACGAGGTTGGACAGGCAACCCTACTCCTTGTCACGTACAACCGGGGATTCGAAACCACGCCAGTTGACTCAATGACAGGCCTCATGATACAGCGCGCACGTGCTAACCATTCGGCCATCCAACCCCCTTTATTTTGTTGGAAGTACCGATATAATAAATATAGGTTTATCACTTCATCAACCATTTATATATTTATTCCTGTGAGTGGTTATATAAGTAGGGGGCCCCAGTGCACTTACATTTAAGCCATTCTTTTAAGAGTCCGATGCACAATAGTTAGTCAAGAACGTGCTTTATCTTGACATTTAATGAAAAAACTCAAATTCAAGGCCTAAAAATCCGTGGTTTTAATAAATTAATCATGCCTAATCTTCTCTATAATGTTTACTCGTTTGTCATGGATATTTTTCCAGTTGGATGTCGGGGTCAGGGGTGTGGTGGCCACTGATTCTGCATGAGGTGGATAGGGCACACCAAAAAACAATATTTATATCGTTACAAGCCCCCCCCCCCCCTACACACACACACACCTCACGACACTCAGAAACTTGGGCTGCGTAGCATATCTGAACCACAATTAGCCTGTGTTTGACACTTGGTGATGAGCATTGATTATGACCAAAACATTGAAACCAAAAAGGAGGGAGTGGGGCGGGGACACCAGAACTCAAACCAGCGACTCACAGCGCATCTCCTTCACTAACCCTTGATCGGTGTATGTCTTTCGCCTATTCGATCGTTCATTAATGTTTGAAAATTGTATATTTTTTTTAGTTTAGGTTTGCCGACTGTTTGGATATTACCTTGATGTTGATTGGCTGTTTTGTTGCTATGTTACATGGTGCAGCATACCCTGCTTTGATTTACGTCTATGGTGATTCTATAGATATATTCATTAGTACTGGTATATTTGAGAAATTTCTCAAGTCCGATGTCGTATCCGGCTTCCTGGGAACCGTTAATCTGACAGTGGAATCTGTCCTTAAACAACCACCAATTTTAAAGTAAGTTTTAATATCATCAACACAGAAAACACTGATTGCCTTTTCATGATAGTCCATTTGTTATTACGGGATTCGTCCATTGGATTATTCTCATGAAATGAAATTAGGTTTAACGTGCAACCAGGATAATGCAGATATGATCATACTCAATCTGCTATGACGACAAAGTTACTCCACCGTCAACTATATCGTTATAGTTCTAAATACGTCACTAGACACCTCAAATCAGGACAAATATGTCGTAATGCTAGGTTCCCACTATCACGATTCGCGCTACAATTGAAATCGTGGTTTTAATCGTGGAGTAATCGTGGTGATCCTATTAGGTCTTATCATATATTTAGGTCAGTCGTAGCAATCGTGGTGATCGTTGATCGTATCATGTATTGAGGTCAGTCGTAGCAATCGTGGTGATCGTATCGAAACATATCCGAACGTATCTGTACATACCAGATCGTGGACTCAATCCTATCGTAACGCGTCACGTCACGACAGTTGGAACCTAGCTTAACACTTGGTGCGTCCTACGATTCAAGATTTTTACTACACCTACAAATAATAACACAGGGGCCTTCTGAATCCATAATATACTAACCATATCTGAATTCGTTCAATTATATTATTAATTTCATGATAATTTACTAATTTCAGAAGTCATTGTGAATATTTGTCAAATTTAACCGACGGTAACTATACATGTGACGTCATACAACCTCAGTTAACCAATCAGCTTCTAGATCAGATGTCAACATATACCTATTATTATATTAGTAAGTAACATTCAGTGTTTTAATTTAAAGTAGCTAAGTCTCTAACTCAATATCATCCAAAAATCTTCGACATTGAAAACACGAATTATTTGTCAATTTAAATCAACATTGATGTTGTGATCTTCCGGGAAAAAGATATCCAATTATTAAGAGAAAATAAACATTTTACCGTTGGTGCCATGGTGCATTTCAATTAGATATATTCCACAAGTCATGTCAAACGGTGACGTCATATTCTTATCTGAAGAGCATGCGCAATAAATACTATCGGTATAGAGTGGAATAACCAGACGCTAGAGATTGCCATTGGATTGAGACTTCTGGCGTATTTCGCCGAATATAACTGATTAGAAATTGCAGTAAAAACAGAAACGATTGAATGTAAATCAGTTTATACAATCACATTACATTAGTATATACGTTGCGACCCATTTGTGTCAATATCTAGATCCAAAATATTAGCGATTTAGCTCCTTTAATTCAAAGAAATGATTGCATCCTTAATTTAATTCAGAATTGGACAATTTAATTCAGAATCTCCAAAGACGTGACTGCGACCTTAATCAAGAAGATGGGGCAATACAATATCCTGCTCCATTTTCTCCCTATGCAAGACTGGCCTCGTTTTCACTACAAGTGTACAAGCGCGGGGAATCGAAACCAACGCCACTTGACACAATGGCAGACACTATAACCTAAAGCGCACTAGTTAAACCATTTGGATGTTACTTTAGTCGTTCGTATGGGACGAAAAACCGAGGTCTCGTGTACACGTTGGTGTGCACATAAAAGAACCCTGTATCGTATTCGGTGTAGAACAGTTGGACGTTAAACCCCATCTCATTTTGTTATTAATATATATAATTTAAACATACATTATGCAAGAGCTAAATCTGCCTATTGCAGGTCTTTCTTTAGGCCTTAAATGTTATCTAAATTATTATTTAGACATTAATTAACTTATCCAGACCATAATCAACTCTCAATGCCATCGTTAGCATGCGATATTTAGTGGATTTGAATACATTTTGTGATGGATAATTTAACGTAAAAATGCAATGGACGATCGAGACTTTCTATATCATCGTTCCAACATTAGTAATGACAAACGAGGCTGGCCTAAAATAATACCTCGGTTCAGGGTGAAGCAGTTTGACTGAAATTTTCAGCACGTTCTGTTTTGGATTATCTATTTTTTAACTATTATAGCAAGAACTGTCAGCTTTTTTATCTAATATTACCTAAAGTCCTCTTTAAATAATAAAAATTGTTAATATTGTTGTAGTTATTGGCTGTGCTGTAATAGTGCTGGGGTATTTACAAATAACAGTTTGGATGACGTCAGCAGAGAGACAGGCCCACAGAATACGATTAGAGTTCTTCCGGAATGTGATGCGACAAGAAATTGGATGGTTTGATACGAACGATACGGGTGAAGTAAACTCCAGATTAGCAGAGTAAGATGTCTTGAATATTGTTCATTTTGTTTCATGGTTTGGTGGCCGGCCAAATGGTTTATGGGCGAAGAAATGAAATGGGGTTTAACGTCCTACTGTTCTGCTCCGACTTGGCTAATGAAGACGTCATAATGAGTGCTATGAGGAGATTTTTCCTGGGCCGCGGCACTACGACCTACTCTAATATCCAAATGCCAATGGACCTTTTATGCCAACGACTATAGTAGGGTGACCACCATAAATCAATATCTCCAAATATCTCGACAATAACACCACAATATCTATATATACACCAAGCCTTAAATCAGTTTCAAACATTTATAGTCACTAAATAAACGGTCATGCTGTACTCAATAAGCTATGACCATAACATCCGAGCACATGTGAGTAAAAATAGGCTACGTGCCCATGTTTTGAAAGTATTCTCGCTAAACCAGTCTACCGATCATTCTACGTTTGATTAATAGGCCGGGATAATCAAGACTACTTTTTTACGAAACATGACAGAAAGCTGGAACAATAAATTGAATTTAGAAACAGGCAACTGAACAGTTGTTTTAAGAACCTTGTAAAAGTAAAATGAAACTACTGCTAATATCATGTTCTTGCCCAACGCAAGTATTTCAGAGATATTATTTGTACTAAACCAAAAGATGCAGTTCTAATGGTACAGTTAATGATAAACCAATTTAAAAAATAAACGAACATAATTTCTAAAGCTGCTGTAATAACCAATAAGCTAAATATTACTGCTATTCAGAATCGTCAACAATAGATTTTTTACGGCTGTAATAGTTGATAGAAGTGTAGAGAATTGCACGTGCGATGGCTATTTATAGTATCATAGACTCTGCCGCTGAGCGCGTAGTGTATGCGAGAAATCACTGCAAGATAAGACACAGACGCGTGTACAATCGCCGTGCCGAGATCAACTTTCTGTATGGTGCACGGGTCACCCTAACTATAGCACGTTGTCCTTTGCCAGGTCCCCTGTCCTGCACCACTGACAAGAGGGAACAACTCCGAAAATCCCGATGAACTGATTAGTCGAAGAAAAAACAGACGTAAAACACTCTTTTCATTTCAGTGTCCCATTTTCATTTATTTTGGTATTAAAATAAGATATTCCTAAGGTGGCCACTCCTTATTTTACTTTTCGAAAATAGAGAGAAAATAGTCTCTATCATCCAGATAAATATTCGTAGAATATTAGTCTGGATGCGTTGTCAATATTTGAGACAATCTGTTTCACAAAGTATTATTTCTAATAATATCTCTGTAAAAGATGACTGTCTTCAACACATGACGTCATATCACGCGGCGTCAATCATTGGCGCGTGCATTGTTTACATAAGACGTTACTGATTCGAGCAGAATGGCGCCTTTTACTCATTTTAATACCGACTTACACTAAAATAGGAAATAATTTTTACCTACTAATACTTCAAACGTCTTTATTTATTTTTCTAATACATAAAAAAAATGTTTTAGAATTTCATTTGTCGGAGGAAAAAAGTTAATATTTGTTGCTCATTAAGTCGCATCGATGTCATCCTTATCAGTGATTGTCGCGGCCTAGCGAATATTCACTTCTGATGATTGTGCATTTGAGAATAATAGGTCATTGGCTAGATTATCCGGTCTTTTACATTATCATAAACAAAGTGTAAGGGAGGTAATTAACTAGTCTTAAAACACGATATTAATTTAAGAATGCCATTTCAGAAAATCCATTTGATTGCATTGCCAGTTCATTTTCCAACACACTTATTTTTTTTTTATTGTAAAATTTCTCTCTTTATGGGCCATATCTATGTTTTTATTAATTAATTAACCCTAATTCGTCGTCACGATTCATGTTTTGTTTATATTAATGCAAGATTTATGGAATTTATTGCGGATAGGAGCGCAAGCATACTTGGCCAAGCATACCGGATAATCAACCACATAAAAAAAACCTCCCGGTTACGCATGGGCAATGGAACTTTTCGTCAATATTGACAACGGTCCCTGACCCTCCGTACGTTGAAGACTAGTCGGTTCGGGGTGACCGAGACTATTATAATACCCGTTGGTGTGCCATTATTTATTTTTATTTCAGTGATATAAATAAAATCCACGATGGTTTAGGAGATAAAATAGGATCTAGTATACAGTGGATATCAGCTTTTCTTGCTGGATGTATAGTAGGTTTTATAAATGGTTGGAAATTAACTTTAGTAATACTATCAATCAGTCCATTACTTATTTTAGCCTCAGCACTCATGAGTAAGGTACGTATCTATGCTAATATTTTGTGACTGTTGTTTGTTTGTCTGTTCAGGGTTGGCGGCTACACTAGGTTCACTAGGGTTGTCCCGAGGCTGAAATTTGGTTTATAGGGGAGTAACGTAGGCCTGGTGGCGATGGCCTACCACTTCCGGTTTCGGAGTTACTTCCGGTTCATTGCTATACACCGAGCTACGCGGGGTCAACCGCTAGTAGGTAATGTATATAAAAAGTACTGATTAAATATGTAATGAAATGGGGTTTGAAGTCCCACGTCCTACCTTTCTGAACTACCCGTGCTAATGAAGATGAAAACAGTCTGTATTCGCCGTGCAATGTGCCATGAGGGAAATTTTGGGCTAGTGCCTACTCTTCTTATCTCGAATTCCAACTCCCAAGGGTTCTTTTACGTGCACGTCAATGTGTACACGATTTTTCGTCCCACCCGAACGACTAGATACTGCCCTTTCGATACATATTTAGTTTTAAAACCATGTAATCTATATCCAAATGTGGATTTTCCAAACACACTTCTTCGTTAACTGGGAACTGGGATGTTGTCGCTTTCCATCTGTCTTGGCACGTATGATAAAATATTCCAATGCACAAAGTTCTTCATTTGTTGGCTCCCAAAGATGTTAAATCTCGGACTATCTCGCTGTCTGTCTTCGGACGGTTGGGTGGTTACAAGGTCTGTCATTGAGTCAAGTGGCGTGGTTTCGATTCCCGGCTTGAACGTGACAAGGAATAGGATCGCCTGTCCAACCTCGTGGGTTTTCTCTAGATCCTCCGGTTTACTCCCACTTCTTAAGACCCCTACACGCAAGCAAAGTATTGAAATAAAATTGAACCATATGTTATTCCCAAAATGCCCTAATTTATGTCGATTGGACGTTAAACCCCGTTACTCTCCGTCCTTCTTCATAAGTCTGGTTAGCACAGGAAAGTTGTAAATTAAACCCTATTCTATTCCTATCACTCTACTGTTAAAAGTTTACGGTTTGGAACTATGTGTATCTTGATTATCTTTTCCTGATTTTTTTTCTGTTTTTAAACACAGCTAGCAGGTAGTATGACCAACAAAGAATTAAAGGCCTATGCCAAAGCTGGATCTATAGCAGAAGAGGTTCTAAGTAGCATAAGAACTGTTATTATGTTTGGTGGACAGAAGCTGGAGGCTGAGAGGTAGGGTTTTCTTGTTTCATACCTGGGGCGGTGGGTTCCAAACTTGCTTATTTGTAGGCTACTGAAAGTTAACACGATAGACTCAATCTGTTTCACAGAGGATTCCGAAAGTTTTCTAATATCTCTGTAAAAGATGATTACCTTCAACACGTAACGTCTCATTACACGGCGTCAATCATTGGCTCAATGGCGCGTGCATTGTTTACATAAGACCTTAATGGTTCGGGCGGAATGGAACCTTTTACTCATTTTAATACCCATTTACACTAAATAGAAAATAATTTTTACCAACAAATACGTAAAACGTCTTTATTTATTTTTCTAATACATAAAAAAAATGTTTTAGAATTTAATTTGTCGGAGGAAAAAAATTAATATTTGTGGCTCATTAAGTCGCATCGATGCCATCCTTATCAGTGATTGTCGCGGCCTACCGAATATTCGCTGCTAATCAGTGTGCGATAGACTATTTAACAAATATAACGGAGATACATATGGGGCAATAACATTTTAACGGGTTTTGTATTCAACAGTCCATGTGAATCAAAAGGGTCCGTGCCATTTTGAATTTTTTAAATGTTACTATCGATATGGTTACTTGTATAGGTAATTTTTTACTTCAATATGCTTACGATCATATTACACAATGTTTTTCTCTGGGTTATATCCCCGATTGTTTGTCTTTCAATTTTGAGTCGGGTCTGTTTGACTAGAGGCCCGGGACTGTACAGCGCAGTGGACGCTTACAACTGCCCCCCCCCCCACACTTCGATCCATTCACTTAATCTGATATGTACGTATGTTTGTGATTTCTGCGTAATTTCTGCGTATTGTGTCTTGTCCGTAGTTTTGTTTTGTGTAATTATGTGTGGTGCAGCCCCATGGTACTGCGCTTACTATTAGGTTAATGCATTCTGTGCACAGATATCTATCCACTTTTCCAGCCTCGTTGGTTTTCTCCGGGTCCTCCGGTTTCCTCCCACTGCTAAAGACCCCTACGCGCAAGCGAATTATGTAAATAAAATTAAACCATATGTTAGTCCCGAATGACTTAGTTTGTGTCGAGTGGACGTTAAACCCCATTTATCTCTCTCTCTCTATCCACTTTGAGAATCGAGCTCCGCTCTTAATGTCCGCCATATTCAATAATTAGTATTATTATTCTATATTGTGGTTCTAATCCATCTAATATCTTACATACACACCAAGCCTTCAAAGACTAAAACAAACAAAAAATCGATTTAATTAAATGGAAGCAGGATAAACACTTCTCAAAATTCTCTAAATATACTTAATGTTTTCGTCGATTTACGAATTAAAATGTCGGTCAATTAGCTTCGTGTTTGTTCTCAAGCTGAGCTAATTGACGAACAGCGTAAGTTTAGAATGTAGTTATTGTTATGTCATCTTACATCTAGAAATAAGGTTACTGTCTATATTCATAAGGTATATCTGACTTTCACTTTACTATTCTTTAGTTTTTCTTCTGTAACTTTATCAAAACTTTCACTTTCAGCAACAGTTAACCAATTTTTCCAATCTCCTACTTTACCTGAATAATAATGATAATGAATTTATAATGAATTTTATACATCACGTTAATATCAATAAACTGATTTTACACAACATACCGATACGCTGACAAGGGAGATAACCTTTTAGTACGTGTAATCTTTATCAGTTTATGAAGTATAAAGCAGTATTTATCCTAAGCATGCTATAAAATTACAGCCGACTTCATTATGAAAGGGGGCATGGGGAGGGGAGTGGATGGCCGAATGTTTAGCCCGTGGGCGTTGTGCCATAAGGTCTGTCACTGAGTCAACTGGTATGGTTTCAATTCCCCGGGTGTTTGTGACAAGAGGATCGCCTGTCGAACCTTGTGGGTTTTCGCCAGATCCTTCGGTTTCCTTCCCTTTCTTAAGATCCGTTTCTCTCTATATATATTGTTCCATCCAGAACAATTTATGAAGAGCAAGAGAGAATAGTTAGTCTTCATATGTGGAGTTCTAGGTTTAAACCCAATATCAGTTCTCGGTAATGAACTGTGTTCGTGCAAGCGTAACACTTGTCTTTTTTCACGATTTTAAGCAGTCCCATGTCATACGTTTTGCACGTGCATTTCCTGCAGATCAAAATTTCAACATTCATCACTTCGGAAAAATGACACGCCTTACAAAAGAAAACAGGAACAGGGCTATTGGCATGCTGGATCAGGGGGCTACACAGGTAGCCGTCGCCAGACACTTTAATGTCTACCCATCGACCATTGCTCACCCCAGACAACGCTTCCACGCCAATGGAAGAGTTGCCGATCGACCACAACCTGGAGCGCCACCTGTAACAACCGCTGCTCAGGATCGCCACATCCGACTACAGCATAAGCGCAACAGATTCCAGTCAGCTATTGCTACTGCCAGGGGAACTGTTGGAACACGGCAACGTCAGATCAGCCCTAAAACAGTCCGAAGGCGCCTGGCTGCTCTGCCATCGACCTTACCAAGGTCAAATCCTTTGTACCGTCATCGACTTGCCAGACAGCAATGTGCCGCAAATCAGGGGAATCTGCACAACACACCATGGCGAAATGTCATCTTCTCGGATGAATCCCGATTCAACCTCAGTTTTCCTGATGGACGTCACCGTATCTACCGACGTCGACATGAACCCGATCGAACACCTTTGGTATGAACTAACTCAAGCCGTGCCACCACGAACTGTTGCAGAGTTGGCACAGGCATTCCAAAATCATTGCCAAACAATCCCACAGCGTGTAGTGAGACATCTGTGCCAGTTCATGCCAAGGCGACTTCAGGCATGTGTAAGAGCTCAGGGTGGACATACCCGATATTGACTTCAGTTGACCCCTGCTTTGTTTCATGGTTCCCTGACGTTTCGTTTTTGTACATTTGTAGTGAATTCTTTTATGAATTTATCCACAGATGCTTGTTATCTCGATTTTGTCAATTGTTATGTACATTTGTTAAAAGTTGTTACAGTAAATAAACTTTGAATTATGCATTGCGTTTTAATGGCTTTGAGTGTATTTGAGGAAACTGATAATGGATTAATTCTATTCTATCCATACCTTCTCGATAGATAGATACTCCTTCCTTCCATTCATATTTGAGAAAATTATCTTTAATTTCCTCATTAGCTTTCTTTAATTTCTTAAAGCTACAAGCTTCAACTATAGCTTTGCATAACTCATCAGACGCTCGCAAATCTAGAAATTTAGCTAAGCCATTTACATGTTCTGCTGGATTCTGAAATAATTATATTATGTATTAGCTCATTAACTCAGTCATTATTGAAAAAACAATAAAGAAGTAATTTGATAAATATTTGTCAGAAGTTAGTAAATCTAGGCCTTTAACTAAGTCTTTTACATATTTTATTCTGAAATAATTAAATTATATAGTAGAGAGAGAGAGAGAGAGAGAGAGAGAGGGGGGAGGGTTTAACGTCCACTCGACACAAACCAGGTCATTTCGGGACTAACATATGGTTTAATTTTATTTCAATGATTCGCTTGCGCGTAGGGGTCTTTAGCAGTCGGAGGAAACCGGAGGACCCGGAGAAACCCACGAGGTTGGACAGGCGACCCTACTCCTTGTCATGTACAACCGGGGATTCGAAACCAGGAATAAAATTAATAACCTAGGTTATTTTCTTGAGAAAATAAATTATTTTTTACATTATAAACTATGTTTTTTTTAACAAAGTATTGTTTACAATGCGAAGAAATATAAACAAACGAATGTTTTACAGTGTGAAGAAAAGTAAACAGACTTTTGATTACAATTGGAAGAAATTGAATAAATTATTGTTTACAATTGGACGAGAATAGATAAAATAGAAACTAAGTACAAAATATTGCATAAGCCTATAATTTAAAGCAAATAAACAAAGTATTGTTAATTTAAAAAAAAAATAAGCCAACACTTTTGAATAAAAAGTAAATAAAAGAAATCGATGACGCAACAACGGGAATATTAATACTATATCATCTAGTGAATAAATAGGTGAGTTGGAATAGCTATTTAAAACGAAACAAAAAGTACCTTGTTTTGCGCAAAAAATATCATAAATGCTAAGAAATGATCCGCTCCGGCGCTTGGAAAAAATATATATTTCTTTAAAATAAATATGAAACAAACCTCGTGCATATCTTCATAGCTAAACTGATAAAATGGATTTTCAGTTGTTTCAAAGAACTTCTCCCACTCTAGAACGTAGTCATACCACGTTCCATACGGTACTGAAAGACAATATTTTAATAAAAAAAAATATGGGATGGTTGTTATTGTAAATATGGCAACATTCACTAATAGATAGCCGGGTAGTAAAGCTAGGGAGAATGTTTCGCTAAGTAATGCTAGGGGCGGGAGATGTTTCGCTAAGTGAAGCTGCTAGATGTTTCGCTTATGCCCCCGTCAGACCGGGGAGCCGTTCTCACTGCGCTGCTGCGACCATACAGCGACCAGAAAATGCAAAGTCGCGTTCTTACAGCCTTCCAGGTCCGATCACAGTATCTTGGCGTTTGTTTTGAACATGCTCAAAACAAACGCCGTGACTCGGCGATCATTGGCGACCATGGAGACCACAGCACAATATATCTAGCGTTTCCACCACGCTTTTACTACGATCTTGACGCGCTCTGGGACCATTTTCCGTCGCCGTAGCAGCGCATTAATGACGCCACCCTGGTCTGGCGGGGCTATTACTAAAGCTGACGGAGAATCGTTCTCTAAGTAAAGCTGGCGGAAAATGTTTTGTTTCGTTAAGCAGAGCGAGGAGTAATATTGTTATCAATTGCACCAATTTAAACAAAAGTAATATCTAACAACGTTTCTATAAATAAGGTGGTATTTTGATTATAAAAATAAATAACTTACAAGTTTTATACAAAGACATATCTATGAAATCTCTGATAGTTCCATAGTACTTTACGGTAACATCTGTTGCGCTGATGTGGAAGAAATATGACACAATTGTGTCTTTTGGGTTCCGAAGCAGATAAATAATTTTGGTTTTCTTTGAGAACATCTCTGTGGGTAAATGTCGCGGCCATAAGTGTGAATTAAGAAGACGTGGGGACGGTTCCTGGTCAATTTCTGCCAGCATGCCGAATTCTAACATTTGTTTCTCCTTGATCTGTTTGTTATATTCTGTAGATTGACTTCGTAACATTTGAATAACTTCCCAGATCCAGTGAGTACCTGAAATTAAACTTTTGACAGATATGAAACAATCCAAATCTTTTCCATCACTAGTAACATTTCAATTCTTTGTGTTTCGGCTACATTTTAAAAGAAAGTATTCTGTATTTTGACGCGAACTGCCAATTGGCCAGGTTTTGAGAGAATAGGTCATATTTGTTCACTTTGTGTAGCAACATTTTTATACGCCCACATTTTCATGTGGGCGTATATTGCCGTCGCCCCTGTCCGTCCTTCCGCCCGTCCGTCCGTCCACAATTGTTTGTGAACACTCAACAGGTTACAATTCTTATCCGATTTTGACGAAACTTGAAATATAGGTTTATCTCCGAAAGATCTCGGTTGATTTCGATATTGGCATATATCGGACCGAAACTTCATGGATTATGACCCCTGATTGTACGAAAAATCGTGGTTTTTTAGCTTGTGGACCCTATAGAGTTCACAATTTTTATCCGATTTGTTGAAACTTGAAATATAAGTTTATAACCCGAAGATCTCGGTTCCTTTCGATATTCGCGCATATCGGATCGTAACTTCCTGAATTATGGCCCCTGATTGTACGAAAAATCGCGTTTTTAGCTTGTGGACCCTATAGAGGTCATAATTTTTATTCGATTTAAATAACCGTTTTAGTATATCGCCGTTACACCCTAAGGAGGGTTCAGTTCGAATTTCGTGAAAATCGGCCCAAAACTGACAGACAAAATGGCCGTCCCTCGTTCTCAAATAGCGTAAAAATATGGTATATCAAGGTTGTGGACCCTCTAGACGTGACAATTTTCTTCTGATTTTGAGGAAACTTGACATGTAAGTTTATAACCCAGAGATCTTTGTTCCTTTCGATATTTGCGCATATCGGATCGTAACTTTGTGAATTATGGTCCCTGATTGTACGAAAAATCGCTTTTTGTTTAGCTTGTTCTCTATCCATCTCTTGCAATATGTGGGCGTATTAAATGGCGGTCGTGTTTCAATCGATCGTTTCGGCGGTTGATTATGGATTTCCCATTATAATAAATGTCTAATTAACAATTTATATACCCTTATACCCTCTAAGGTCCAACAGAAAGACTCGCAATAGGCAGAGTTTCATACAGAAAGAAATGAAATAAAATGGGGTTTAAAGTCCTACTGTTCAGCTCCGACTTGGCTTATATGAGACGAAATCTGAACATTTTTAACAGGAGATTTATCACTTTTATCTTTCTATATGTAAATAGGTTGGTCGCCATCTTAAATGCCATAGGTCAGGTGGTTAAACTGTCTACACACTAAAAACATAGCTTGCCAGTCAACGTAAAATACGGTACCCAGGGTGGCTTATGATTGTTATAACTTTTAAAGGTTTTTACTGTATATAATGATCCGGCTCCAAATTTTGTGGAAATTGGTCAAGAACCTAACTCTTCAGAGTGAGTGCAATTAGATAACGTCCCATGATCAACTATAATAAGGCAGGGACAAGAAATATTGGCTATTCTGCAAAAAATATAACATAAATGTTAATCAATAATAATTGTCTTGTTCCTGCAAATTTGTAGAAACTGGGAAAGATGTTAACTTGATAATGAAGGGTTGTGGACAACTGAAAGAGTCAATCCACGAACATGTTAAATATCAACTAAACTGTCGCTACATGAGCTGGATTAAAGAGTCTGTGTGTGGAGGTTACCTTAGAGGAGACTGCCGTTGGATGGGGGGGGGGGTATTAGCTGGTACGGGGGTAGGATGGCCTATAGGTCTGGGCGTATGTGGCTTGGAGTCGGAGTCTTCCCAGCCTCGTGGGTTACTACCTCGTGGGTTTACTGCCTCGTGGGTGTACTCCGGTTTCAACCCACCCCCCGCCCCGCCCAAATTGTCTGCGATATCACCATCGGCGGAGCGGACGTTAAGCACCAAGACTAACAACAACACCCGAATTGTACATTCGTATGTGTTGTTTAGGCGTAAAGTCGAGAACCAACTCTGACGTCATTGATAGTATGGGGGACTATTTATTGACGGAGTGGAATTATAAAGATAATAATGTCAAAGAATGCAAAAGAGATCATATGTCAATTAAAATACCCGATTATGGATTTATAAAAAAGAGTTCTCACCTGCTTTTGGATAAGCACATATCATGACGTCATCGTCTCGTATCTTGAAATCCTTGATTTGTCTAAAATGAACTTCCGGTTTGTTACCAACGAGTTCTTCTCCTACGGGTAGTAGATAAACACCGTCCACTTCAATCATCTTAAAATCATTTCCTGACTTGTCTTTGATTACAATTTCTTTAATAGTACCGTATTCATTATTACCAACGTTCTCCATTTTCAAAATGTATTCACCATACAGTTTAGTAATAAGATTTCAAAATCTTTTTGCAATTTTTGAAGATTTTACCAAATACGGAGATTTAAATGTTCCCTTATCCTATCACCATAATTATAGTCTAGTACGCACTACTTTCATTTTCACGAACATTCTTCATTTTCAAATTATATCCACCATACTGGTTGTAAAAATTCAAAACTTATCCATGCAGAATTGTATATTATATTAACTTGGAAAGATCATGAATAATTAATAATGATGACAACGATGTCGATAATTTAATAAGTAGGCTGTATGACATTTGTATACTGAATTGTGTATTGGTATAAATATATATGTCATTAATGACCTCGATAACCTGCTACAACATCTAATTCAATAAAAGTACTTTTGTTTTAAAATAAAGTAGGTCAATAATTGCCCTGATTATCTCTAGGTATTGGTGTGTGTCGTGTACGAATGAGGGTATGTTTTCATCAATTCATAAAATATCTAAACCCTCCACCATGCTATGGGGAATTTAGATCAAGCTACTTTTTATTTCTATGTGAAGTCATGTTTACCCAGGCAGTGAAAATTTATACTGACAGGAGTATATCGACTAAGGATGCAGGAAACACATACAATATAAAACGGGTCTCAAAGTCGATGAAACAAACATAGGCCTATCTATAAACATTATAATGAAACAAACATAGGCCTATCTATAAACATTATAATGACATCATATTTAAAAATACCTTTTTTGTCAGACTGTATTATTCTCTGTTTCACTACTACATCCGTTATAATATCGTCAATAATGTTTCTATATTCACACAAACATGGCTATGAATCTAAACTTTGAATATATCAGCATATTATCACACCACGACTGTAAACTGAGCGTTTGTATATATACAACGTCAGCTATATATAGTTAATTTAGTATAAAATAAACTACTCGCGCTGTCAGTAATAAGATGTATACGGTAAAGGTCACACTGTATTATTTGTCACATCGGGTCTATGAAATGGAGAAGGATTTAACACTATTTTCTGCACAGACTGGGCTATTCAAGACTCGCATACGTCATGCAGTGTGCTATGAGGGCAGTTTTACACAGACAGCGAGGCTACGGTCTACCCATATTTCAAATTTCAACCGAAAGAGTTCTTTTCGTCGGGTTTATGTGTAGCGTCATGGATGCAAACCTTTTTATTTGTATATAGTCTATTAAACATTACCACGGTTGACTACTCAAAAAATGTTTTGATGCATTTTTTCAAGACAAGGATTAAATGTGTCACATTAACACGTGTGCTATATTTTATTATTTAGTGGAAAACTTTAAACATACATTATGCAAGAGCTAAATCTGCCTATTGCAGGTCTTTTTTAGGCCTAAAATGTTAACTAAATTATTAATTAGACATTAATTAACTTATCCAGACCATAATCAACTCTCGATGGCAGTGCTAGCCTGCGATGTTTATTGGATTAGGTTCCGATTTGCTGTTCGACTTCCATTCATAATTAAATGTTAATGGATAATCGAGACTATGTTTTTGTATCCTACCGACTAAAATCTCGGTTCATAGTGGATCAATTTGAATGAAATTTTTTAGCAAATTCACTTTTCATTATCTAGTTTTTAACTATTATAGTGGGTACTACCAGCTCTTTATCTAATCTCCCATAGTGTATCTTTAGTTTTGTATTGTAAGCTTTTATTGGCTATAGTCCTTCGGATTGGACAGAAAACAGAGGTACCGTGTATACATTGACATGCAGGAATAAGAACCCTTGGCAGTTGGAATTAAATATAAATAAAATAAAACCAAGTACGAATAATCCAAACCATTAGACAAAATTCGAAATATAGGCAAAATAGTGTAATCAGTAAATGGCCTGTTCACCAGGTACAATATATATGATGAACAGTGGTACCAGGTGTCCGGATTCCGGAAGCGTAAGCTTACCCTGCCTGGTGTCACATCCGCCATATCTGCATCCACACCATTAGACGAAATGTCGGTAAAATATCGTTATTAGCCAATGGGCTTTCCGTATGCAAAATGCACACGGTGAACAGCGGTAACAGATGTAGTAGATATAATCAGAAATCGTATCAATTAAATATAGCTACAAGCCGAAAGAGACATGTTATATTTACTAATCAGGTCAATATGACAACCATAAAACATTTTAAAGGTTTTTTTTATGTTTAGTGGGCAAGTGTCTCTTTAGTTAAAGCTTAATTAATTTAATTGACTTAAAATGTCAGAATAAAAGGAACAAGCTCTCGCGAATCGAACTAACCGGAACACATACACTCCGTAAGCTGGTGATACTGGAATATTACTACTAATAAATACAAAGCTGACAATCGGAAAGACACAGTCATAAGAGTAGGCCATAGCGCCACTGTCCGGAGAAGAGAGAGAGAGAAATGGGGCTTAACGTCCACTCGATAGAAACTAGGTCATTTCGGGACTAATACAATTTCAATAATTCAATTACGCGTAGGGGTCTTTAGCAGTGGGAGAAAACTGGAGGACACAGAGAAAACCCACGAGGTTGGACAGACGACCCTACTCCTTGCCACGTACGACCGGGGATTCGAAACCACGTCAGTTGACTCAATGACAGACCTTATGATACAGCGCGCACATGCTAACCATTCGTGCACGTCAATGTATACGCGGGACCTCGGCTTTTCGTCCCTCCCGAACGACTAGACAGCTGTCCTTGTCAGACTCCGTCCTGCACCACTGACAAGCGGAAACCACGTCGGAAGATCCCTATGAACTTTCTCGGCCAATGAAGGGATTGAACACGTGACCTCGGGATAGTCAGCTAGCGTCTAATCCACTTAGCCACCGTGATTCCAGTATCGTTAAAAGCCCGGGCCTGTTTTGTTCGGGTCAATAACACATATATTAATATATTTATTCACATTATATGTGCAATGTGCTTTCAGAAATTATTATGTGCCATGTGCTTTCGAAAGTTATACAGTTAAACATAAATCAATTGATATTTGGAGGATTTTGTGATTTTGTATTCAACAGTCCATTTGAATCGAAACGGATCCTGCCATTTTGACTTTGGTTATTGCATTCTGAGCAGAGATAACAATCTACTGGTCGCTATGAGCAGAGATAACAATCTACTGGTCGCTATGAGCAGAGATAACAATCTACTGGTCGCTATATTTAATAATTAGTATACTACTCTATATTGTGGTTCTAATCCGTCTTACATCTTTCATACATACAAAGACTAAAATATAAAAAAATCGATTTTATTTATCGGATAAGCGGAATAAACACTACTCAAAATTCTCGAATTATACTTAGTGTTTCAGACTTAAATAAAAAAAAGCGATTTTATTAAATGGAAGCGGAATAAACACTTCTCAAAATTTGTAGCACCATAGGTCTTCTGTCTGACGTGGAGAGCGGATTAGGGGAACCGGTCGCCACATCCTACGTACGACCCATGCATCTTTTCTTACTACATATTTCTGTAGCCTTGTGATCGTCTAAAATTTGTCTCTAGCTGTCTTTACTTCTGCTTCACGTTGTGTATTTACTTCTTACAGTTTCTTAAGACGCTTGTCTTACCAGGAATAACAATGCAATAGTTCGCTTCTACACATTTTATATATATATATATATATATATATATATATATATATATATATATATATATATATATATATATATATAACTGAATACAGGTATACAAGCATAATAGATAACAATACTAGCTAAAACCATTTCTTCACCCTAGCCAGCCTCGCGGCTGTCTAGGAACTCAGATGGAAACACTCTGGAATCTAATTGAAGTCTAACTTAAAACTTTACTATGATTTAGTTTATAAGACTCCTGCAGATCACGCACAGAAAGCCTGTTCATGGCCCTGAACCTGTGCAATTAACGATATGATTGGTTACTTTAAACCAAATGATGCAATTAGAATAATTCCACTCACGTGTAATTCTGGTGGTAAAATATTGACACCTGTTTTGGTTTAAGAGCTCTTTTTATGTAACAATATGTCAATTACAGACTAAGTTGATTTAGTACAATTCTACATATGTGGGAATCTACGAACTTGCCAAAGATATTAATTAATGAAATATAAAGCCATCTTATTTCTCTATTCCTTGTCTATAAATTTAAAAACAATGTCGCAACGACGATAGTGCTACAAATTCTCGAATTATACTTAGAGTTTTAGACTAAAGTCGTCAATTTATGAATTAAATTATCGGTCAGTTAGCTTCATTGTAAGTAATTGCAGACAAAAAGCGTAAGTTTCGTATGTGGTTATTGGCTTGCCCCCTTACATCTAGAAATAAAGTTACTGTCTATATTTATAAAGTATATCTGACTTTCACTTTACTATTCTTTAGTTTTTCTTCTGTAACTTTATCAAAACTTTCACTTTCAGCAACAGTTAACCAATTTTTCCAATCTCCTACTTTACCTGAATAATAATGATAATGAATTTAAAATGAATTTTATACATCAAATTAATATCAATAAACTGATTTTACACAACCGATAAGCAGACAAGGGAGATAACCTGTTAGTACGTGTAATCTTTATCAGTTTATGAAGTACTAGCAGTACTTATCCTAAGCATGCTTTGGAATTACAACCGTCTCTAATTTTACCCAAAACAATATATCACGAGTGTAACATGATGCTATCGAAATTCATATTATTCCATGCGTCATTCGGCTATAAACGAGAACGTGTTATGCAAAAAACTGACCCTTTACCTCTATGTGTGGCTGTGTGTTTAATTAAGACATGGTAAGGTCTCTCACCCCAGTTTGTATTTAACGAATTTATAAACCCAGATTAGAAGGGTCGTTATAGCAATAAACTATAACACATACTTATGGAAGAACAATTACTGATTTATTTGGGCGACGTTTCGAAGAGTATTCTCTCAACGTTTTCAAGCAAGTGAAAATTAGTGTGTTTATCTATTTATTGTGTAGAATTGTATTTTAACGAATTAGTAAACTCAGATTAGAAGGGTCGTTATAGCATTGTGTCATCGTGGAACCTTTTAATATCCTTGGTTGTAAACTAATACTGTTACGTCACGATAGACAAGAAAACCTAAGACTGAAGCATTCTTCGAATACTAACAAAGCAAGATAGAATATTTACAGCCCTCATATTTACAACGAGCTTACATAAATTATGTATATATACATATCCAATAGTGAAGAGCTGGTTTCATTTGCTATATATAGCGGATTAAACCAGTGACTCATGGTATATTTTTTAGGAAAATGATAATGGATTAATTCTATTCTATTCATACCTTTTCTGTAGACAGATGTTCCCTCCTTCCAATCATCTTTCAAAAAATCATCTTTAATTTCCTCGTTAGCTCTCTTTAATTTCTTAAAGCTACAGGCTTCAACTATAGCTTTACATAACTCATCAGACGCTGGCAAATCTAGAAATTTAGCTAAGCCTTTTACATGTTCTATTGGATTCTAAAATAATTATATTATGTATTAGCTCATTAACGTATTCATTATTGAAATAATTATATTATGTTAGCTTATTATTGAAAAAAATAACCTATAAATTTCATCTTCGAAAAAAGAAATAATTTTAAAAATCTAGAAGCTAGTAAATCTAGAAACTTTCCAAAGTCTTTTACATATTCTACTGGATTCTGAATAATTACATTATATATAATAGCTTATTATTTTTACAACCTCTGAAATATAAAATAAAATTGAAGAAAATAAAAAAATTTTTACATTACGATTTTTTAAAAAAAAAAAACCAAAACAAACCATGTTTTACATTGTGAAATATAAACAAACTATTGTTTACATTGTTTACAATGTGGAGAAAGTAAACAAGCTATTGTTTACAATTGGAATTGGAAGAGATTATTAAACAAACTATTGTTTACTATTAAAAAAGAATAGTTAAAATACGTTTTATAATTTGAAGAAAACATTGTATATAATTCAAAGCCAAATAAATAAGTATTTCCGACAGTTTAAAAAAATAAGCAAACACTTATTTACAATTTGAATAAAAGTAAACAAAATAAATTGATGACGCACGAAAGACATATTATGTTTACTAAGGGGCATTATGGGAGATTAGATAAATAATTGACAGTTCTCGCTGTACTAGTTATAAAATAGATAATGTAAAGAGAATATGCTGAAAATTTTCAGTCAAATTACTTCACTCTAATATGTTAGAACCGAATTTCAAAAACACCGTAGCCTTGATTGTCATTGTTACTATTATTACAATAAACAAAGTCTCAATTATCCAATTTTACTGTTAATCATGAACAGTCGTTGCACCGCAGATCGGATTCAATAGATGGCATAGAGGGTTGATTATGGTCTTGTCATGCTAATTAATGTCTAATTAATAATTTATATAACATCTAAGGCCTAAAGAAAGACCCACAAGAGGCACATCCGCTGAATTAACGGCGAATAGGAATGACTGTTTAAAACGAAACATAAGGTACATTATTTTGCGCAAACAATATATCATAAATACTTAGAAGTGATCCATTCCGGCGCATGGAAAAATAATATATATTTCTTTAAAATAAATATGTAACAAACCTCCTGCATATCTTCATAGCTAAACTGATAAAATGGATTTTCAGTTGTTTCAAAGAACTTCTCCCACTCTAGAACATGGTCATACCACGTTCCATACGGTACTGAAAGACAATATTTTAATAAAAATAAAAAATTGATGAGAAGATGGTTGTTTTCGTAAATGCATGACAAAATGCATTAAAAAATAGTCGGGTAGTAAAAGCTAGAGAGGATATTTCGCTAAGTAAAGCTGGGGATGTTTCGCTAAGTAAAGCTGGGGATTTTTCGCTAAGTAAAGCTGGGGATGTTTCGTTAAGTAAAGCTAGGGGGATGTAAGACTTGGGTAGAGGGTCACTAAGTAAAGTTGGGGGAGAATGTTTTTCTAAGTAAAGCTGGATGTTTCGCTAAGTGGAGCTGAAAAATGTTTCACTAATTAAATCTTGGGTAGAATGTTTCGCTAAGTAAAGCTTGGGGAGAATGTTTCGCTGGGGGAGAATGTTTCGCTAAGTAGAGCCGACGAATGTTTCGCTAAGTAAAACGGGGGGGGGGCGTTTCGCTAAGTAAAGGTGGTGAACGTTTCGCTAAGTAAAGGTGCAATGGTGAATGTTTCGCTAAGTAAAGGTGGCGAATGTTTCGCTAAGTAAAGGTGGTGAATGTTTCGCTAAGTAAAGCTGGTGAATGTTTCGCTAAGTAAAGCTGGTGAATATTTCGCTAAGTAAAGTGGGGGGGGGGCGTTTCGCTGGTGAACGTTTCACTATGTAAAGCTGGTGAATGTTTCGCTAAGTAAAGCTGGTGAATGTTTCGCTAAGTAAAGCTGGGGAGAATATTTCCCTAAGTAAAGCTAAGGGCGGGAGATGTTTCGCTAAGTAGAGCTGGAGAATGTTTCGCTAAGTAAAGCTGGAGGGGATGTTTCGCTAAGTAAAGGTGAGAGGAATTTTTTGCTAAGCAGAGCGAGCAGTGATTGCTTTTTGTAATATTGATATCACTTGCACCAATTTACATAATATTTGGAATGTGTAAACAAAAGTATTATCTTACAACATATCTCTATTACGATAAAATATCCCATAATTAACCTTAAGGTGAAAGTTTGATAACAAAAATAACTTACAAGTTTTATACAAAGACATATCTACGAAATCTCTGATATTTCCATAGTACTTTAAGATAGGCTGTACACCGCTGACATGGAAGAAATACGACACAATAGTGTCTTTTGGGTTCCGAAACAGATAAATAATTTTGGTTTTCTTTGAGAACATCTATGCGGGTAAATGCCGCGGCCATAAATGTGAATTAAGAACACGTGGGGACGGTTCCTGGTCTATACCCCCCATGTGGCCGAATCTTAACATTTGTTTCTCCTTGATCTGTTTGTTATATTCTGTAGACTGAGTTCGTAACATTTGAATAACTTCCCAGATCCAGTGAGTGCCTGAAATTAAACTTTGACAGATATGACACGGTCCAAATCTTTTCCATCACTAGAAACATTTCAATTCTCTGTGTTTCGGGTAAATTTTAAAAGAGAGAGAGAAAAATGGGGTTTAACGTCCACTCGACACAAACTAGGTCATTCGGGACTAACATATGGTTAATTTTATTTTATTAATTCGCTTGCGCGTAGGGGTCTTTAGCAGTTGGAGGAAACCGGAGGACTCGGAGAAAAGCCACGAGATTGGACAGGCGACGCTACTTCTTGTCACGTACAACCGGGGATTCGAAACCACGCCAGTTGACTCAATGACAGGCCGTATGATACAGCACGCACGTGCTAACCATTCGGCCATCCAACCCCTCGAATTTTAAAAGAAGGTATTTTATATTTTGATGGATCTCGAACTGACAATTGGCCATGTTTTGAGAGAATAGGTCTTGTTCACTTTGTGTAGCAACATTTTTAGATTAAATTAATAAATGGCGGCCGTGTTTCAATCCATTAAAACATCATGACCACCCGAGTTTTGATTATGGATTTCCCATTATAATAAATGTCTAATTAACAATTTGTATAACGTTTAAGACCAAAGAGAAAAACCCGCAATAGGCTGATTTAGCTTTCATATAGAAAGAAATGAAATAAAATGGGGTTTAAAGTCCTACTGTTCAGCTCCGACTTAGATGAGACGAAGTCTGAACATTTTTAACAGGTGATTTGTAACTGTTATCTTTCTATTGTTCGAATATGTAAACAGGTTGGTCGCCATCTTAAATGCCATAGGTCAGGTGGTTGAAGTGTCTACACACTAAAAACATAGTTTGCCAGTCAAGGTAAAATACGGTACCCAGGGTAGCTTATGATTGTTATAGCTTTTAAAGGTTTTTACTGTAAATAATAATCAGGCTCCAAATTTTATGGAAATTGGTCAAGAATCTAACTCTTCAGAGTCAATCAGTTTCACAGAGAATTACGAGTCTTCTAATATCTCTGTAAAAGATGACTGCCTTTAACACGTGCCGTCACAGTACGCGGCGTCAATCAATGGCTGAATGGTGCGTGCATTGTTTACGTAAGACGTTACTGCTTCGGGCAGAATGCTGCCTTTTAGTCATTTTAATACCCATTTACACTAAATAGGAAATATGTAGCACCATAGGTCTTTTGTCTGACGTGGAGAGCGGGCGTGGAACCCCCATCGCCACATCCTACGTACGACCCATGCATCTTTTCTTACTACATATTTCTGTAGCCTTGTGATCGTCTAGAATTTGTCTCTAGCTGTCTTTACTTCTGCTTCGCGTTGTGTATTTACTTCTTACTGTTTCTTAAGACGTTTGTCTTACTTCTGCTTCACGTTGTGTATTTACTTCTTACTGTTTCTTAAGACGTTTGTCTTCATCTGCTTCACGTTGTGTATTTACTTCTTACTGTTTCTTAAGACGTTTGTCTTACCAGGAATAACAATGCAACAGTTCGCTTCTACATTTTATATAGCATATAGCCGAATACATGTATACAAGCACAATAATAGATAACAATACTAGCTAAAACCATTTCTCCACCCTAGCCAGCCTCGCGGCTGTCTAGGAACTCAGATGGAACATCTCTGGAATCTAATGGAAGTCTGACGAATTCTCACAAGTATAATAGTTTTGTAGCTGTGGGTTTTGGACGTCCAATTATCTAATTGGTCAAATATCATGTAAATAAGTATAGAGATTGGTCAAACAAGCCAAATGATGCAATCGTAATTTTCCGTCACATGTTTTTCGACACAATCTATCCTTGAACTCAGACCCTCTTTCCTGTTATTCTCACGCTATTACATAAACAATTAATTTGCGTTTTAAATAAACTCATACCATAGCTAATATACTTACAACAGAGAATAATTTGTAAAGATAAAAAATGTTGTTTAACCCATCTTATTTCTCTATTCCTTGTCTATAAATTTAAAAACAATGTCGCAACGACGATAGTGCTACAAATAATTTTTACCTACAAATACGTCAAAACGTCTTTATTTATTTTTCTAATACATCAAAAAAAATGTTTTAGAATTGAATTTGTCGGTGGAAAAAAGTTAATATTTGAGACTCATTAAGTCGCATTGATGTCATCCTTATCATTGATTGTAGCGGCCTAGCGAATATTCACTGCTGATCAGTGTTCTTCAGAGTGAGTGCAATTAGATAACGTCCCATGATCAACTATAATAAGGCAGGGACAAGAAATACTGGCTATCCTGCCAAAATATAACATCAATTAATTTGATCAATAATAACGATCTGAACTAAACTGTCGCTACACGAGCTGGATCAACGAGTCTGTGTGCGGAGGTTACCGGGAGGGCGGGGGGGGGGGGGGGGTAGGATGGCCTGAGCGTATGTGGCTTGGATTCTTACCAGCCTCGTGGGTTACTGCCTCGCGGGTTTACTCCGGGTACTTGGGTTTCACCCCCCCCCCCAACTTGTCTGCGATATGACCATCGGCGGAAGCGGGCGTTAAACACCAAGACTAACGGCAACAACCAGCTGGTACATTTCTATGTGTTGTCTAGGCGTAAAATCGAATGCATTGACGCTACTAAGAATACCGGCTCTGACGACATTGATAGGCAAAAAATGTCTAATCTTCTTGATGAAGAATAATTAATCCTCTTACTAAATCCTGGATTAGATCTACGCAATATAATTCGCTAATATCACATACATCGTAAAACATTGGTCATTGTTTTCTATTGTCAAAGAATGCCAAAGAGATCACATGCCAATTAAAATACCCGATTATGGATGTATAAAAAAAGTGTTCTCACCTGCTTTTGGATAAGCACATATCATGACGTCATCGTCTCGTATCTTGAGATCCTTGATTTTTCTAAAATGAACTTCCGGTTTGTTACCCACGAGTTCTTCTCCTACGGACGTTAGATAAACCCCGTCAACTTCAATCATCTTAAAATCATTTCCTGACTTGTCTTTGATTACAATTTCTTTAATATTACCAACGTTCTCCATTTTCAAAATGTATTGTTTAGTAATAAGATTTCAAAATCTTTTTCAACCTGAATTTGATGATAAAAAAAAATGCAGTTTTTGAAGATTTTACCGAATAGGCCCTACGGAGATTTGAATGTTCCCTTAGCCTATTGCGAAAAAATTATTTTATGACAATGTCTTTTATAGTACGCAATACTATCATTTTCACAAACATTCTTCATTGTGAAATTATATTCACCATATAGTCTAGTTATAAAAATTCAAAACTGATCCATGCAGAATTGTATATTATGTTATTTTGGAAAGATCATGAATAATGATGACAACGGTGTCGATAATTTGAGTAGACTAAATGATATTTATATACGTGTAAACTGAATTTTGTATTGGTAGCAAACGTAAATGTATATGTCAAAAATACTTTTGTTTTAAAAACTAATGTAGGTCAATAATTGCTCTGATTATCTCTAGGTATTGGTGTGTGTCGTGTGCGAATCAGGATATGTTTTCATCAATTCATGAAATATCTAAACCCTCCTCTATGCTATTAGGGAATTTAGATCAAGCTACTTTTATTTTTATGCGAAGGCAGGTTTACCCGGGCAGGGAAAGTTGTTACGGGTAATGTATATCGACTAAGGATGCAGAAAACACACATAAAACGGGTCTCAAAGTTAATAAAACAAACATAGGCCTATCTATAAACATTATAATGAAACAAACATAGGCCTATCTATAAACATTATAAAGACATCATATTTAAAAAATACCTTTTTTGTCAGACTGTATTATTCTGTGTTTCACTACTACATCCGTTATAATATCGTCAATAATGTTTCTATATTCACACAAACATGGCTATGAATGTAAACTGTGAATATATCAGCATATTATCACAACACGACTGCAAACTGGGCGTTTGTATGCAACGTAGGCTATATATAGGTAATTTTGTAAAAAAAACAAAAAAACTACTCGCGCTGTCAGTAATAAAATGCATACGGTAAACGTTAGATAACAAACATTATCTCTCGACCCTCTGTGTTTCGAGATAAGAGATGATGCTATTACCTTCAATGTAGCACATGCGGGAGCGATTCGCACCCGGCATTTGTAAACAAAATTGACAATATTTTTAATCAAAACAACGATTGGTTATTGTTATTTATAATATTTCTGCTACACCCAACTACAATTAAGCATATAATACTACCTGAAACGGGCACAAATCCCCTCTTTTTAAATCAAAGCGACAGTAGATTGCTTTTTCCGACATTTTAAATTTACGTCTGTAACACATAAAGGCGGGCCCTCGTGTGCAATAGCCATTCAAAGTACCCATCTGATCAGAGTTGCGCAGTCGTAATACGGCGTAATTATGAACGTCCGAATCAATTTTGATAAAAACAACGCTTGATTTACCTTATTGTCAATATTTGCTGATAAATGAATGTTGTTTCGGTAGATTGGACTGCGTATGTGTAATAACTACTAATAGTATAAAATTAACTTATTTTTAAGATGGTACATACATTAATAAAGAAATTGAGTTTGCCACTTGGAACTAAAGGCATCCAATCGTAGTTAAAAACAAGCACATCAGTATATCTCAGCGTTTTTAGTTACGTTCTCGTAGCTAGGTAAAGGTCACACTGTATTATTTGTCTCATCGGGTCTATTAAATGGAGAAGGATTTAACACTATTTTCTGCACAGACTGGGCTATTCAAGACTCGCATACGTCATGCAGTGTGCTATGGGGGCAGTTTTACCCAGACAGCAAGACTACGGTCTACCCATATTTCGAATTTCAACTGAAAGAGTTCTTTTCGTCGGGTTTATGTGTAGTGTCATGGATGCAAATCTTTTTATTTGTATATAGTCTATTAAACATTACCACGGTTGACCACTCAACAAATATTTTGATGCATTTTTTCAAGACAAGAATTAAATGTGTCACATTAACCCATGTGCTATATTTTATTATTTAGTGGAAAACTTTAAACATACATTATGCAAGAGCTAAATCTGCCTATTGCAGGTCTTTTTTAGGCCTAAAATGTTAACTAAATTATTAATTAGACATTAATTAACTTATCCAGACCATAATCAACTCTCGATGGCAGTGCTAGCCTGCGATGTTTATTGGATTAGGTTCCGATTTGCTGTTCGACTTCCATTCATAATTAAATGTTAATGGATAATCGAGACTATGTTTTTGTATCCTACCGACTAAAATCTCGGTTCATAGTGGATCAATTTGAATGGAATTTTTAGCAAATTCACTTTTCATTATCTAGTTTTTAACTATTATAGTGGATACTACCAGCTCTTTATCTAATCTCCCATAATGTATCTTTAGTTTTGTATTGTAAGCTTTTATTGGCTATAGTCCTTCGGATTGGACAGAAAACAGAGGTACCGTGTATACATTTACATGCAGGAATAAGAACCCTTGGCAGTTGGAATTAAATATAAATAAAATAAAACCAAGTACGAATAATCCAAACCATTAGACAAAATTCGAAATATAGGCAAAATAGTGTAATCAGTAAATGGCCTGTTCACCAGTTACAATATACATGATGAACAGTGGTACCAGGTGTCCGGATTCCGGAAGCGTAAGCTTACCCTGCCTGGTGTCACATCCGCCATATCTGCATCCACACCATTAGACGAAATGTCGGTAAAATATCGTTATTAGCCAATGGGCTTTCCGTATGCAAAATGCACATAGTGAACAGTGGTAACAGATGTAGTAGATATAATCAGAAATCGTATCAATTAAATATAGCTACAAGCCGAAAGAGACATGTTATATTTACTAATCAGGTCAATATGACAACCATAAAACATTTTAAAGGTTTTTTTTATGTTTAGTGGGCAAGTGTCTCTTTAGTTAAAGCTTAATTAATTTAATTGACTTAAAATGTCAGAATAAAAGGAACAAGCTCTCGCGAATCGAACTAACCGGAACACATACACTCCGTAAGCTGGTGATACTGGAATATTACTACTAATAAATACAAAGCTGACAATCGGAAAGACACAGTCATAAGAGTAGGCCATAGCGCCACTGTCCGGAGAAGAGAGAGAGAGAAATGGGGTTTAACGTCCACTCGATAGAAACTAGGTCATTTCGGGACTAATACAATTTCAATAATTCAATTACGCGTAGGGGTCTTTAGCAGTGGGAGAAAACTGGAGGACACAGAGAAAACCCACGAGGTTGGACAGACGACCCTACTCCTTGCCACGTACGACCGGGGATTCGAAACCACGTCAGTTGACTCAATGACAGACCTTATGATACAGCGCGCACATGCTAACCATTCGTGCACGTCAATGTATACGCGGGACCTCGGCTTTTCGTCCCTCCCGAACGACTAGACAGCTGTCCTTGTCAGACTCCGTCCTGCACCACAGACAAGCGGAAACCACGTCGGAAGATCCCTATGAACTTTCTCGGCCAATGAAGGGATCGAACACGTGACCTCGGGATAGTCAGCTAGCGTCTAATCCACTTAGCCACCGTGATTCCAGTATCGTTAAAAGCCCGGGCCTGTTTTGTTCGGGTCAATAACACATATATTAATATATTTATTCACATTATATGTGCCATGTGCTTTCAGAAATTATTATGTGCCATGTGCTTTCGAAAGTTATACAGTTAAACATAAATCAATTGATATTTGGAGGATTTTGTGATTTTGTATTCAACAGTCTCTTTGAATCGAAACGGATCCTGCCATTTTGACTTTTTTTTAAATTTTGACTTTGGTTATTGCATTCTGAGCAGAGATAACAATCTACTGGTCGCTATATTTAATAATTAGTATACTACTCTATATTGTGGTTCTAATCCGTCTTACATCTTTCATACATACAAAGACTAAAATATAAAAAAATCGATTTTATTAAATGGAAGCGGAATAAACACTTCTCAAAATTTGTAGCACCATAGGTCTTCTGTCTGACGTGGAGAGCGGATTAGGGGAACCGGTCGCCACATCCTACGTACGACCCATGCATCTTTTCTTACTACATATTTCTGTAGCCTTGTGATCGTCTAGAATTTGTCTCTAGCTGTCTTTACTTCTGCTTCACGTTGTGTATTTACTTCTTACAGTTTCTTAAGACGCTTGTCTTACCAGGAATAACAATGCAATAGTTCGCTTCTACACATTTTATATATATATATATATATATATATATAGCTGAATACAGGTATACAAGCATAATAGATAACAATACTAGCTAAAACCATTTCTTCACCCTAGCCAGCCTCGCGGCTGTCTAGGAACTCAGATGGAAACACTCTGGAATCTAATTGAAGTCTAACTTAAAACTTTACTATGATTTAGTTTATAAGACTCCTGCAGATCACGCACAGAAAGCCTGTTCACGGCCCTGAACCTGTGCAATTAACGATATGATTGGTTACTTTAAACCAAATGATGCAATTAGAATAATTCCACTCACGTGTTATTCTGGTGGTAAAATATTGACACCTGTTTTGGTTTAAGAGCTCATTTTATGTAACAATATGTCAATTACAGACTAAGTTGATTTAGTACAATTCTACATATGTGGGAATCTACGAACTTGCCAAAGATATTAATTAATGAAATATAAAGCCATCTTATTTCTTTATTCCTTGTCTATAAATCTAAAAACAATGTCGCAACGACGATAGTGCTACAAATTCTCGAATTATACTTTGAGTTTTAGACTAAAATCGTCCATTTATGAATTAAATTATCGGTCAGTTAGCTTCATTGTAAGTAATTGCAGACAAAAAGCGTAAGTTTCGTATGTGGTTATTGGCTTGCCCCCTTACATCTAGAAATAAAGTTACTGTCTATATTCATCAAGTATATCTGACTTTCACTTTACTATTCTTTAGTTTTTCTTCTGTAACTTTATCAAAACTTTCACTTTCAGCAACAGTTAACCAATTTTTCCAATCTCCTACTTTACCTGAATAATAATGATAATGAATTTAAAATGAATTTTATACATCAAATTAATATCAATAAACTGATTTTACACAACCGATAAGCAGACAAGGGAGATAACCTGTTAGTACGTGTAATCTTTATCAGTTTATGAAGTACTAGCAGTACTTATCCTAAGCATGCTTTGGAATTACAAGCGTCTCTAATTTTACCCAAAACAATATATCACGAGTGTAACATGATGCTATCGAAATTCATATTATTCCATGCGTCATTCGGCTATAAACGAGAACGTGTTATGCAAAAAAATGACCATTTACCTCTATGTGTGGCTGTGTGTTTAATTAAGACATGGTAAGGTCTCTCACCCCAGTTTGTATTTAACGAATTAGTAAACCCAGATTAGAAGGGTCGTTATAGCATTGTGTCATCGTGGAACCTTTTAATATCCTTGGTTGTAAACTAATACTGTTACGTCACGATAGACAAGAAAACCTAAGACTGAAGCATTCTTCGAATACTAACAAAGCAAGATAGAATATTTACAGCCCTCATATTTACAACGAGCTTACATAAATTATGTATATATACATATCCAATAGTGAAGAGCTGGTTTCTTTGCTATATATAGCGGATTAAACCAGTGACTCATGGTATATTTTTTAGGAAAATGATAATGGATTAATTCTATTCTATTCATACCTTTTCTGTAGACAGATGTTCCCTCCTTCCAATCATCTTTCAAAAAATCATCTTTAATTTCCTCGTTAGCTCTCTTTAATTTCTTAAAGCTACAGGCTTCAACTATAGCTTTACATAACTCATCAGACGCTGGCAAATCTAGAAATTTAGCTAAGCCTTTTACATGTTCTACTGGATTCTGAAACAATTATATTACGTATTAGCTCATTAACGTATTCATTATTGAAATAATTATATTATGTTAGCTTATTATTGAAAAAAATAACCTATAAATTTCATCTTCGAAAAAAGAAATAATTTTAAAAATCTAGAAGCTAGTAAATCTAGAAACTTTCCAAAGTCTTTTACATATTCTACTGGATTCTGAATAATTACATTATATATAATAGCTTATTATTTTTACAACCTCTGAAATATAAAATAAAATTGAAGAAAATAATTTTTTTTTTACATTATGATTTTTTTTAAAAAAAAACATAACAAACCATGTTTTACATTGTGAAATATAAACAAACTATTGTTTACATTGTTTACAATGTGGAGAAAGTAAACAAGCTATTGTTTACAATTGGAATTGGAAGAGATTATTAAACAAACTATCGTTTACTATTAAAAGAGAATAGTTAAAATACGTTTTATAATTTGAAGAAAACATTGTATATAATTCAAAGCCAAATAAAAAAGTATTTCCGACAGTTTAAAAAAATAAGCAAACACTTATTTACAATTTGAATAAAAGTAAACAAAATAAATTGATGACGCACGAAAGACATATTATGTTTACTAAGGGGCATTATGGGAGATTAGATAAATAATTGACAGTTCTCGCTGTACTAGTTATAAAATAGATAATGTAAAGAGAATATGCTGAAAATTTTCAGTCAAATTACTTCACTCTAATATGTTAGAACCGAATTTCAAAATCACCGTAGCCTCGATTGTCATTGTTACTAGTATTACAATAAACAAAGTCTCAATTATCCAATTTTACTGTTAATCATGAACAGTCGTTGCACCGCAGATCGGATTCAATAGATGGCATAGAGGGTTGATTATGGTCTTGTCATGCTAATTAATGTCTAATTAATAATTTATATAACATCTAAGGCCTAAAGAAAGACCCACAAGAGGCACATCCGCTGAATTAACGGCGAATAGGAATGACTGTTTAAAACTAAACATAAGGTACGTTATTTTGCGCAAAATATATATCATAAATACTTAGAAGTGATCCATTCCGGGGCATGGGTGAATATATATTTCTTTAAAATAAATATGTAACAAACCTCCTGCATATCTTCATAGCTAAACTGATAAAATGGATTTTCAGTTGTTTCAAAGAACTTCTCCCACTCTAGAACATGGTCATACCACGTTCCATACGGTACTGAAAGACAATATTTTAATAAAAATAAAAAATTTATGCGAAGATGGTTGTTTTCGTAAATGCATGACAAAATGCATTAAAAAATAGTCGGGTAGTAAAAGCTAGAGAGGATATTTTGTTAAGTAAAGCTGGGGATTTTTCGCTAAGTAAAGCTGGGGATGTTTCGCTAAGTAAAGCTAGGGGGATGTAAGACTTGGGTAGAGGGTCACTAAGTAAAGTTGGGGGAGAATGTTTTTCTAAGTAAAGCTGGATGTTTCGCTAAGTGGAGCTGAAAAATGTTTCACTAATTAAATCTTGGGTAGAATGTTTCGCTAAGTAAAGCTTGGGGAGAATGTTTTCCTGGGGGAGAATGTTTCGCTAAGTAGAGCCGACGAATGTTTCGCTAAGTAAAACGGGGGGGGGGGGGGGCGTTTCGCTAAGTAAAGGTGGTGAACGTTTCGCTAAGTAAAGGTGCAATGGTGAATGTTTCGCTAAGTAAAGGTGGCGAATGTTTCGCTAAGTAAAGGTGGTGAATGTTTCGCTAAGTAAAGCTGGTGAATATTTCGCTAAGTAAAGTGGGGGGGGGGGGGGGCGTTTCGCTGGTGAACGTTTCACTATGTAAAGCTGGTGAATGTTTCGCTAAGTAAAGCTGGTGAATGTTTCGCTAAGTAAAGCTGGGGAGAATATTTCCCTAAGTAAAGCTAAGGGCGGGAGATGTTTCGCTAAGTAGAGCTGGAGAATGTTTCGCTAAGTAAAGCTGGAGGGGATGTTTCGCTAAGTAAAGGTGAGAGGAATTTTTTGCTAAGCAGAGCGAGCAGTGATTGCTTTTTGTAATATTGATATCACTTGCACCAATTTACATAATATTTGGAATGTGTAAACAAAAGTATTATCTTACAACATATCTCTATTACGATAAAATATCCCATAATTAACCTTAAGGTGAAAGTTTGATAACAAAAATAACTTACAAGTTTTATACAAAGACATATCTACGAAATCTCTGATATTTCCATAGTACTTTAAGATAGGCTGTACACCGCTGACATGGAAGAAATACGACACAATAGTGTCTTTTGGGTTCCGAAACAGATAAATAATTTTGGTTTTCTTTGAGAACATCTCTGCGGGTAAATGCCGCGGCCATAAATGTGAATTAAGAACACGTGGGGACGGTTCCTGGTCTATACCCCCCATCTGGCCGAATCTTAACATTTGTTTCTCCTTGATCTGTTTGTTATATTCTGTAGACTGAGTTCGTAACATTTGAATAACTTCCCAGATCCAGTGAGTGCCTGAAATTAAACTTTGACAGATATGACACGGTCCAAATCTTTTCCATCACTAGAAACATTTCAATTCTCTGTGTTTCGGGTAAATTTTAAAAGAGAGAGAGAAAAATGGGGTTTAACGTCCACTCGACACAAACTAGGTCATTCGGGACTAACATATGGTTAATTTTATTTTATTAATTCGCTTGCGCGTAGGGGTCTTTAGCAGTTGGAGGAAACCGGAGGACTCGGAGAAAAGCCACGAGATTGGACAGGCGACGCTACTTCTTGTCACGTACAACCGGGGATTCGAAACCACACCAGTTGACTCAATGACAGGCCGTATGATACAGCACGCACGTGCTAACCATTCGGCCATCCAACCCCTCGAATTTTAAAAGAAGGTATTTTATATTTTGATGGGTCTCAAACTGACAATTGGCCATGTTTTGAGAGAATAGGTCTTGTTCACTTTGTGTAGCAACATTTTTAGATTAAATTATTAAATGGCAGCCGTGTTTCAATCCATTAAAACATCATGACCACCCGATGGTTTAGAGTTTTGATTATGGATTTCCCATTATAATAAATGTCTAATTAACAATTTATATAACGTTTAAGACCAAAGAGAAAAACCCGCAATAGGCTGATTTAGCTTTCATATAGAAAGAAATGAAATAAAATGGGGTTTAAAGTCCTACTGTTCAGCTCCGACTTAGATGAGACGAAGTCTGAACATTTTTAACAGGTGATTTGTAACTGTTATCTTTCTATTGTTCGAATATGTAAACAGGTTGGTCGCCATCTTAAATGCCATAGGTCAGGTGGTTGAAGTGTATACACACTAAAAACATAGTTTGCCAGTCAAGGTAAAATACGGTACCCAGGGTGGCTTATGATTGTTATAGCTTTTAAAGGTTTTTACTGTAAATAATAATCAGGCTCCAAATTTTATGGAAATTGGTCAAGAACCTAACTCTTCAGAGTCAATCAGTTTCACAGAGAATTACGAGTTTTCTAATATCTCTGTAAAAGATGACTGCCTTTAATACGTGCCGTCACAGTACGCGGCGTCAATCACTGGCTGAATGGTGCGTGCATTGTTTACGTAAGACGTTACTGCTTCGGGCAGAATGCTGCCTTTTAGTCATTTTAATACCCATTTACACTAAATAGGAAATATGTAGCACCATAGGTCTTTTGTCTGACGTGGAGAGCGGGCGTGGAACCCCCATCGCCACATCCTACGTACGACCCATGCATCTTTTATTACTACATATTTCTGTAGCCTTGTGATCGTCTAGAATTTGTCTCTAGCTGTCTTTACTTCTGCTTCGCGTTGTGTATTTACTTCTTACTGTTTCTTAAGACGTTTGTCTTACTTCTGCTTCACGTTGTGTATTAACTTCTTACTGTTTCTTAAGACGTTTGTCTTACTTCTGCTTCACGTTGTGTATTTACTTCTTACTGTTTCTTAAGACGTTTGTCTTACTTCTGCTTCACGTTGTGTATTTACTTCTTACTGTTTCTTAAGACGTTTGTCTTACTTCTGCTTCACGTTGTGTATTTACTTCTTACTGTTTCTTAAGACGTTTGTCTTACCAGGAATAACAATGCAACAGTTCGCTTCTACATTTTATATAGCATATAGCCGAATACATGTATACAAGCACAATAATAGATAACAATACTGGCTAAAACCATTTCTCCACCCTAGCCAGCCTCGCGGCTGTCTAGGAACTCAGATGGAACATCTCTGGAATCTAATGGAAGTCTGACGAATTCTCACAAGTATGATAGTTTTGTAGCTGTGGGTTTTGGACGTCCAATTATCTAATTGGTCAAATATCATGTAAATAAGTATAGAGATTGGTCAAACAAGCCAAATGATGCAATCGTAATTTTTCGTCACATGTTTTTCGACACAATCTATCCTTGAACTCAGACCCTCTTTCCTGTTATTCTCACGCTATTACATAAACAATTAATTTGCGTTTTAAATAAACTCATACCATAGCTAATATACTTACAACAGAGAATAATTTGTAAAGATAAAAAATGTTGTTTAACCCATCTTATTTCTCTATTCCTTGTCTATAAATTTAAAAACAATGTCGCAACGACGATAGTGCTACAAATAATTTTTACCTACAAATACGTCCAAACGTCTTTATTTATTTTTCTAATACATCAAAAAAAATGTTTTAGAATTTAATTTGTCGGTGGAAAAAAGTTAATATTTGAGACTCATTAAATCGCATTGATGTCATCCTTATCATTGATTGTAGCGGCCTAGCGAATATTCACTGCTGATCAGTGTTCTTCAGAGTGAGTGCAATTAGATAACGTCCCATGATCAACTATAATAAGGCAGGGACAAGAAATACTGGCTATCCTGCCAAAATATAACATCAATTAATTTGATCAATAATAACGATCTGAACTAAACTGTCGCTACACGAGCTGGATCAACGAGTCTGTGTGCGGAGGTTACCGGAAGGGCGTGGGGGGTTGGTAGGATGGCCTGAGCGTATGTGGCTTGGATTCTTACCAGCCTCGTGGGTTACTCCCTCGCGGGTTTACTCCGGGTACTTGGGTTTCACCCCCCCCCCACCCAACTTGTCTGCGATATGACCATCGGCGGAAGCGGGCGTTAAACACCAAGACTAACGGCAACAACCAGCTGGTACATTTCTATGTGTTGTCTAGGCGTAAAATCGAATGCATTGACGCTACTAAGAATACCGGCTCTGACGACATTGATAGGCAAAAAATGTCTAATCTTCTTGATGAAGAATAATTAATCCTCTTACTAAATCCTGGATTAGATCTACGCTATATAATTCGCTAATATCACATACATCGTAAAACATTGGTCATTGTTTTCTATTGTCAAAGAATGCCAAAGAGATCACATGCCAATTAAAATACCCGATTATGGATGTATAAAAAAAGTGTTCTCACCTGCTTTTGGATAAGCACATATCATGACGTCATCGTCTCGTATCTTGAGATCCTTGATTTTTCTAAAATGAACTTCCGGTTTGTTACCCACGAGTTCTTCTCCTACGGACGTTAGATAAACCCCGTCAACTTCAATCATCTTAAAATCATTTCCTGACTTGTCTTTGATTACAATTTCTTTAATATTACCAACGTTCTCCATTTTCAAAATGTATTGTTTAGTAATAAGATTTCAAAATCTTTTTCAACCTGAATTTGATGATAAAAAAAAATGCAGTTTTTGAAGATTTTACCGAATAGGCCCTACGGAGATTTGAATGTTCCCTTAGCCTATTGCGAAAAAATTATTTTATGACAATGTCTTTTATAGTACGCAATACTATCATTTTCACAAACATTCTTCATTGTGAAATTATATTCACCATATAGTCTAGTTATAAAAATTCAAAACTGATCCATGCAGAATTGTATATTATGTTATTTTGGAAAGATCATGAATAATGATGACAACGGTGTCGATAATTTGAGTAGACTAAATGATATTTATATACGTGTAAACTGAATTTTGTATTGGTAGCAAACGTAAATGTATATGTCAAAAATACTTTTGTTTTAAAAACTAATGTAGGTCAATAATTGCTCTGGTTATCTCTAGGTATTGGTGTGTGTCGTGTGCGATTCAGGATATGTTTTCATCCATTAATAAAACATCTAAACCCTCCTCTATGCTATGGGGAATTTAAATCAAGCTACATGTATTTCTATGTGAAGACATGTTGACCTACAGACAGGGGTATATCGACTAAGGATGCAGGAGGCACACATAATATAAAACGGGTCTCAAAGTTGATGAAACAAGCATATATATAATATTAATATGACTTTATATTTAAAAATACCCTTTTTGTCAGAATGTATTCTCTGTTTCACAATACAACCTCCGTTATATATCTTGAGAAACGTACCCACATTCACACTAACATGGCTATCAATGTGAACTGCATACATAGTGCGTATTATTATATCACAACTGCAAGCTGTGTGTTAGTTTACAACGTAAGCATGAGATGACAAATTCAGTATAAAAAAAATATATCGATTAAAGTTAAAAGGTCACTCTGCGCTATTTAGTAGTCGAATCAATGTATCCGATTAAAGTTAAAGCGTCATTCTGTGCTATTTTGTAGTCGAGTCTATGAAATGAAATGGGGGTTAACCTTCTTTTTTTCTGCACAGACAGGGCTAGTGTGACAAAGCTAGTTTCATTTTGTTAGTATTGTTTTATTTAGACACCTAAATAGTCGAGACTAATAACAGCTATATTTAGATATAGGTCACTGTAGTTTTATACAGTGAGGGAAAGGATATTTGATAACTGTGTGAATAGTATGTTGACAGACTCTTTCTAAGTTTTATAATAATATTGCTATCTGCCATATATTATGTTTAACTTTATAATTTAATAGAAACTCATGTTTTGTTATTTTGTTGGAAATGTACCATAATACATTGTCTAATATTATTGGGGGATCACGTGGCTAAGTGGGTAAGTGGGTAAGACGCTAGCTCGCTAGCCTGGAGGTCGGCTGTTCGATCCCTGCATTGGCCGAGAAAGTTCATCCAGATTTTCCAGCGTGGTTCTCCCTTGTCAGTGATGCAGGACGGAGGGGCTGACAAGGAAAGCTGTCTAGTCGTTCGGATGGGACGAAAAACCGAGGTCCCGTGTACACATTGGCGTGCACGTAAAAGATCCCTTGACAGTTGGAATTCGATATAAGAGTAGGCCGTAGTGCTGCTGTCCGGGCAAAATTTCCCTCATAGCACACTGTATGGCGTATGCCCGTCTTCATTAGCCCAGTTCGGAGCAAAACAGTAGGACGTTAAACCCCATTTCATTTCATTTTATTTCACGTTTCTATTATGACCTGCCCAATGCTAAGGATGACAACTGTGTCACAGCTGAGACGTTACCGCTTACTCGTTATCAAATCTAGAACAATAGACGATTAGAAAATGTTAATCTAAATTTGACTGAATTGTTAGTATGGCCACCAACAACTACATAGAGCCATGTTGGCTCAGTAAGTAATTAAGTCGTTGGGTCACTAACCTGAGGATCATGTGTGTTCGATCCTAGCTTTGTTGGCCACGAGGCGCTCTCCTGGTAAAATGTCCCATCTCCATTAGCTCAGTTGGAGCTAATACTGCTTTCGTTAACCTCCGCTTTTTGTTTTATTTTTGTTGTGGGTTTTTTTGGGGTTTTTTTTTTTTGTTCTTTTATTCTTTCTTTATTTATTTTATTTATATTTGCCTTGATTGATATACTATAGATTTATATAAACTCACCACAAAGGCAAAATAAAACATAGTAATCAAAGCATTGGCTGTCCTTTTAAAATTTCAGATCTTTTATTAATAGCGGTGGATGATTTAATTTTTTTATCTACAATAATGTTAATATGAAAATATTTTATAGGTACACTACTAATTTGAGCGATGCCAAGAAATATGGAATACGTAAGAGCATTACTAATGGGTTATGTATGGGTTTTCTTAGCTTTATAATAATGGCGACCTATTCATTAGGATTCTGGTATGGAGCTAAATTAACAGTTGACGAACCAGATAACTACACAGCGGGTAAAATGTTGATGGTTTGTACAATTTAATTCACTGTTGTTCAAAAGGACAAATAAAAAACTATTAATTTTATTTTAACGAAGGATTGTAATGCGTTATCTTGTGTTTTTCAATATTATAACATAAACTCTAGGTTAAATGATAAAGCCCAACGCTAAAAAAAATAATTTGCTAGCCCTGTTTTGGTCAGCTACAGGCCTGTAATACATTGACCTTGATAGTAGTGCAGACTTGTCAAAATATATCTAAAAACTCTACAGATGCCCAAAGGTACCGGTTTAGAAGAAATTGAAACTAATATAAAATCCATAATGACCATAATTTACGTTAAGATTAATTTGTTAATAGAACATTAAGACTCTTTCTGGCATCATGTTTCCCCTTTAAATTCTTTCAAAGCAATGACCATAGTCACAACAGAATCTAATTCTTCGTCGATTATTCAATACTCTTTTCAAAAACAAATACGAAACCTCACTTTTGTAACACAATGCATTTTATGTTGTGATATGTTACCTGTTGTGTTTGTGATATTGTACAGGTATTTTATTTTGTGATATTTTACAGGTATTTTATGCTGTATTTGTGGGATCTTTCTCTCTGGGTAATGCATCCCCAGGGTTACAAGCAATGTCTACAGCACGATCTGCGGCTTATACTGTGTACAAGCTTATTGATAAGGTAAAAATAATCATTATTTCAAATGCGTTATGGTAAATATTTGCAATATCTTAACCCATTGAAAAAAACAAAAACACGTTGAATGTGCGCTAGAAGAACGTTGCTCAGATAGTAGTGTTTCGATGTGTATGAGTATGACCTCGGTTGTTCTTTCATATGCGAACAGTCCCACACACACTACACCTAATATATTAGTTATATATTGTAGGTTCCCTGAATAAATACATATAGAGTGGGGGGGCATGACTTCAATAAATGTTATGTTTATATATTGTAGGTACCCAGTATAAATATATATAGTGAAACTGGTGTTAAACCGGACACACTGACAGGACATATAGAATTCAAGAACGTTCAGTTTACCTATCCTGCTAGACCAGATGTGAAGGTAGGTGCCACTCAAATAATTCTTTATTTGTGTAAGCTATTATTGTATATAATATTTGTATTGAAATGTATAAATTACTTGAAGGTGAATTTATATAAACTCTGGCTTGTTTTCAAATCCATAATATGAGTATTGTGTATACCCGAAAAACAAAATTGGTTAAACCAAATACTTGTCTAACCATCAACTTCTTTAAAGCAATACATTCAGATAGTTCTTAAAATGTTATCTACATGTATTAAATAGATTATGTTTCAACGTTAAACTGATATTACTGCAGGTATTAAATAAGTTATGTTCAAAATTAAACTGATATTACTACAAGTATTATGTTAAAATGTTAAACTGATATTACTACAGGTATTAAATAAGCTATGTTAAGGTGTTAAATTGATATTATTACAGGTATTAAATAAGTTATGTTCAGGTGTTAAATTGATATTATTACAGGTATTAAATAAGTTATGTTAAAATGTTAAACTGATATCACTACAGGTATTAAATAAGTTATGTTTAAAAATAAACTGATATTACTACAGGTATTAAATAAGTTATGTTTAAATGTTAAACCCGGACAGACAGTAGCATTAGTTGGTAGCAGTGGCTGCGGTAAATCAACAACGATTCAACTTTTACAGAGATTTTACGATGTTGTAGATGGATCTGTAAGTAAAATTAATCCATATGAAAGAGTCATGATTCTATTAATTTGTCGTAATTCGAGCAGCTTCAAGCATGACTGAAACATGGGCTGAATGATAGTGCAACGGATTATAAACCAAGTGTGTGTATGTGTGTTTGGGGGGAGGAGTGGCTGCTGATGCAAAAAAACGAATATAAAGGGATATATGGGCAAATTGTTTCATAGTTCAGCAATGTTTCGGTAATCAGTTCATAAAAATTTTTAAAAATTTCCTTCTTTTTTATTATCTTTGGGAATTAGTGCGCATTGACCGAACCTTTTAAAACTATAGAGGAAAAATCAATACATTTCACAACCACACAAGGCACTCTTTACACTACATTCTCACAGGGCACTCAACAAAACAATTACAGTGTGCAGGGTGGGGTGGGGGCGTCACTGAAACTTTCGTCCTGGGGCGCCACATAGGCTTGTGAGAGCCATGGTTAAACCACGCTTTCGTCTTCTTTGCAAGACCACACGATTCAACGTTCCGTGTCTTCTGTGTTTCAGATAACAATAGATCATAAAGATATTAAAGATTATAATATCAAATGGTTAAGACAACATATTGGTATCGTGAGTCAAGAACCAACTTTATTTGCTACTACGATAGCGGATAATATAAGTTATGGACGTGCGGAAGTGACGAATGCTGAGATTGAAGAAGCAGCTAAAAATGCCAACGCGCATGACTTTATTTCACAGTTGCCACAGGTATTCCAAGTAATCCTTAGTGTTCTTAAAGACATCCCCCATTCTATAACCTGTTGATATGGTATAATAGAAATGGGTTAGTCTAATATGGATGTCGCCCTCTCAAGATTGGGCATAATCCTACACTGCTTGTGCCGAGATAACCCTACAACGGGTCGACGCCTTTAGATAGAGCTCATGAATTGGTATTAACACACCCTTGGGCACTGTAACTATGGAAATGGAAGTGGTAACATTTCGTGATGGCTCATCTATCTCCAACCTACGCTAGACAAGTATCTCATTTACGACTGGCCTTCTCACAAATCTCCTAGGAAATACTTGTCGGCCATATCTCTTGTCTGTGGCTTTGAATGCTTTTCAACAACTTGACTACTGCGTTTGATTGTTTTAATGCCTTGGTTTAGTGAAATGCACCTGTCTGGTATGCGGATTCCATGATTTACCTTCAAATCTAAATAACCAACAATCTATATGTCAATAATCTCAAAATGTAAACTCTATCCACCTGCTTTTAGATGTATGGTACTAGTTAAAAGAAACCATTTTCCGGCGTGGTTCCCCCTTGTTAGTGGAAGAGGACAGGGGTTCTGGCAAGGGACAACGTATGTTCGTTCGTTGACGAAAACCCGAGGTCTCATATATTAAAGATCCCTGAAATAAGTGTCGTAACGCCACTGACAGGATAAAATTTCCATCAAAGCGTACAGCCTAGTTGATTCAGAAAATTGAGACATTAAACCCAATTTTATTTATTTATTTGTAGAAATATAACACATTAGTCGGTGAACGAGGAGCTCAACTAAGTGGAGGTCAGAAACAGAGGATAGCTATAGCCAGAGCTTTAGTTCGTGATCCCAAAATTCTTCTACTGGATGAAGCTACATCTGCCCTGGATACAGAAAGTGAATCGGTCGTACAACACGCCCTGGATACGGTAATGTTATGTATGCCTACTTCTGTTCGGAACGGTGTCTCACGTCTCATGGAGGAAGTCCTTTGACCGTTCCTGTCCGTCCCTATTAAGCTGCAATTTGAAAATACCGCCCCACCCATCCCTGCTCTTGGGCTATTTTGGAGTCCTTGCCTTCTATTTTTAATCCCAATTCTTAATCGCAAGGACTCTGAAATAGCCATAGAACAGAGTGGGCAGGTGGTTTGTCATTGCTAATATTGGACCAAACATATTTTAATATTAACATATATGTTTAATTTTCTCTGACGCTGGGAAGTTTCACTTTTGTTAACACATCTCACTGCACAGGAATCTACACTGGAATCCATATAAAACGTGTAAGAGGGCTCTAGATTCTTTGTATCTATCAGAAAGAGGAGAAAACTGTCTGTCACTGTCTTAATTAACTATGTTGAATGTTCTTAATTTATTTACAGGCCCGACAAGGTCGTACAACTATTATTATTGCTCATCGATTATCAACCATCAAATCGGCAGATGTTATCTACGCTTTACAAGATGGCGTAGTTGTTGAAAAGGGAAGTCATGATGAATTAATGACGTTGAAAGGAATATATTACCAGCTTGTGATGAATCAGGTAAACATTGTTCGTAGCTTTATGATTAAGGTAAAGGAAGTTGGAGTCGGGATCGAGGTAACTTTAGCCCGCTGTTCGATTTATTCAGTTCTGAAATAGAAATGAAATGAAATGGGGTTTAACGTCCTACTGTTCTGCTCTGACTTGGCAGTTCTAGAATAAAGACATGTTTCAGATCATATTGGTGTTACATAAAACCCCACTTCAATACACAATACATATAAAACAGTATTTTACCAGTCACCAAGATGGAAATTGGGGACATATTCCTGCAAAATCTTAGACACAGTAGATTCTCCAACCGCTATGTTTCAAACTACAGTAGCAACCTTTGGCATGGAAATGCATTATCGATGTTCACTTCCGTTTTGTTAGGCGATTCAGCGAATAGGAAATTGGTCAACGTCAATGTTGATCTAAAAGATTGGACATTCATGTCTAATGTTACCACGTTTTTTAAGGGTCAGGTCTAAATATTAAGGCCACTTTTAGATGTAAATAGGGTTAGAGCACGCGATTCCTGACGAATTGTGGGTTAGGACTTGGGCTTGGGTTAGGGTTAGCTCTAGCCCTGTTTACATACCGTGACCGTGACGAAATCTGTAGGCGGCCTTAATATTTAGACCTAACCTTTTATTAAACTGTGGTGCCAGAATGTAGTTTAAAGAACCCCATTGATCCATTTTAGCTATAAGTGGTGACCAGTATCTTACACGAAACAGAAATGGTATTATTTCTAGAACCTCTCATAACATCATCTCATTTATTCTTGAAGTTCGTATAGCTTTCACTTTGCTGTGTAAAGAAATACAATACAAAAATGATTATAAATACTGACTCAATATTTTCTTTTTATTGCAGACAATTGAAAAAGAAAAGGGTAAGTGAAAGTCACATAACTTTGCGGCTCATTAACCTGTAGGTCCCAGGTTCAATCCCAGTGTTGACCGAGAAACGTCCTTTGGATTTCCCAGCATGCCCCCCCCCCTCAGCTGTGCAGGAGGGAAGCCAACAAAGTACAATGGCTAGTCGTTCAGATTGAACAAAAAAACAAGATTCCGTGTACACGTTGGCGTGCACTTAAAATAAAAATCTCGCCTGTCTTTACTAGCCCGGTCGGTGCAGAAAAGTAGGACGTTAAACTCTATTTCATTTCTGTATTATTAATGATCTTTTTTAGTGAAACCTGGTTTTGATAGACAAAGCTTTTCCAGATTTTTCTTAGAATAAATGTGTACTAGAAATGCCCGTATATCATATAAAATCTTAAAACCCATTAGCGTATTCATGATATGCAAAATGGGGAAAAATGGGGAAAGGTTTAATTAAATAGAGGTTCAATATCTCAAAACAAATATGTCATTTTCGATTAAAGATGTGTAGACACTTTGAAGAGGAGGAGCTGGGAGGGTGTGGTTATTAAAAACACTATAGTCAAAATGAAATCACATTTCTTCAATATAGGAAATGATTTTGGAAGTATGTATGTTCTGGAATTGTTTTATTTAACGTTTAGAAACCGACGAAGAAGATATAACGGAAGAAGCTGCAATAGAGGAAGAAATAGAGTTTTTAATTCGACGTGATTCTATGAGGCGTAGTGGCAAATTTAACAAATCATTAACTAAAAGAAGTCCAGATAAAAAACAGTCTATTACAAGAGTGGAAGATTCTACAGAAACAGAGGATGAAAAGGTGGGTGGTTACACTGACAAATATGGAATGACCGTACCTTTACTTATATTGGTTTATTATCATTTTGTTGAAATGGTTGGTGAAAGTCTGTGCAAACCAATTAATCATGTGAAATCGCGGAAGCACAATTACTATCCGCTTCTCATAAATTGACTTTCTTATTTACGGTGGCCTTTTAGTGCCATACGTTGATTTATACGAGTGGTTTCCCCTTGTCAGTGATGCAGGACGGAGGGCCTGGCAAGGACAGCTGTCTAGTCGTTCACATGGGACGAAAAACCGAGGTCCCGCGTACACATTGGCGTGCACGTAAAAGATCCCTTGGCAGTTGGAATTCGATATAAGAGTAGGCCGTAGCGCCGCTGCCCGGGCAAAATTTACCTCATAGCACACTGTATATGTATGGCGTATGCCCGTCTTCATTAGCCCAGTTTAGGAGCAGAACAGTAGGACGTTAAACCCCATTCCATTCCATTTCATT